GTTTTCCCAACACCATTTGTTGAAGAGACTTTCTTTTCCCCATTGTATGTTCTTGGCTCCTTTGTCAAAGATTAGCTGTCCATAGATGTGTGGGTCTCTTTCATGCTCTTAATGACATCTTTGGATGATTAGAAATCCTTAATTTTAATGTAGTCAGATTTATCAAATTTTTCTTTTATTATAAGTACTTTCTGTGTTTTGTTTAAAAAGTCTTTCCTTACCCACAGGTCATAAAAATACTGTCTTATTTTCTAAAGGCTTTATCGTTTTGTTTTTCATATTCACTTTAGATTTGTCTGGAACTTATTTTTGTGTATGGTATGAGGCAGGGGTCAAGTTTCCCTTTTGTTTCCACATGGTGAACCAGCACCACTTATTGAAACGACTCCTTCCTCCACTGCTCTGTAGTGCCACCGCTGTCAGGTAGCAAGTGTCCATTTATGCCTGCGTCTGCTCTGGCCTCTCTATCCTGTTTCATTCATCGATTTTGCTATCTACTATATACTATCTACTATTTCTATATTTTATATATCTATTTATCTATTATTCACTCATCTATTTTTCTATCTTGTCTTAATCACTATAGCTTTATAATAATCTCGATGGAGCAAATCATATCATCACGTTCTTTTACAAGAGTGAATTGGCTGGTCTTGGCCTTTTGCATTTCCCTCTTTGTTTTTAATGGTTGCAAAGCATTCCTTTGTGGGAGTATACCAGATTGTATCTAATCAGTCTTTTGCCTCTACAAATAATGCTGCAGTGAACATTATTGTAGATATGGCTTTAAGGTTATGTGTGAGTACTGAGAGGATATACTCTATATCCTCTGCCTACAATGGACTTCCCCTCTGCTCCTCTTGACCAACGCCCACCTATTCTTCAAAACCTTCCCAAATGTCCCTTCCTGTGATAAAGCCTTTGCCTACTCCCTGGGTAGAGTCAGTCACTGCTTCCTCTACATCTTCGTGGTCCTGGATGTTCCCCATTGCTGCATTATCACCTCCTACTGTGGTGGTTTCCTTCTATTCTCCCTTGGTAGACCAGTAGCTTTTAGAGTGCAGGAGATGTGTCTTACTCATCTTTGTGCTTGGTGTATTATTGGCACTCAGGAAATACTGACGAATGAACTAACATGGGAAATGTAGGAATGAACGAACGCCAACTAGCACTCAGGAAAGATGTCTCTCTTTCCTGATCTCCCAATTCTGTTAGTTATTTGTATCCTTGTAACATTTATATTTTTTGTCTTTAGGTTCCAGAGCTTATGACTTAAAAAAAATTTTCCTCTTCAAAACTATACTTGCAAATTAGATATTGCTGCTAACAAACAGAAAAGACACGAAGTGTGGAGGAAGGAAAAGAAGGAAAAAACTGAGAAATCGACATCAAAACGAAAGAGTATTAGGGACCAGCCTGGTGACATAGTGGTTAAGTTTGCGTGCTCCGCTTCGGTGGCCTGGGGTTCACGGGTTCGGATCCTGGGTACAGACCAACGCACCGCTTGTCAAGCCATGCTGTGGTGGCATCCCATATAAAGTAGAGGAAGAAGGGCACAGATGTTAGCCCAGGGCCAGTCTTCCTCAGCAAAAGGAGGAGGATTGGCAACGGATGTTAGCTCAGGGCTAATCTTCCTCACAAAAAAAAAAAAAAAGGAACGAGTATTAGTCGAATCATACTGACCTGTAACTGGTTTGGGTGGTTTGATCTTCATTATGTGAACTGGAAGACTCAACTTAACATCTCCTCTAAAACAAATGTTTATATCCTACAATAAAGAAAAAGCATAGCTAAGAAGCCAACAAAGGCGATAAAATAGAATCATTAAAAACACTCATTCCAAAAGAAGGCAGAAAAAGAGGGAAAAGGAAGAAAAATAGATGGGACAAATAAAAAGTAAATAGCAAAGTGGTAAATTTAAACCCCAACATATCAATAATCACATTAAATATAAACGGCCTAAACACCCCAATTAAAAGGTGGAAATTGTCAAATTGTATAAGAAGGCAAGACCCAATGATATGCTGCTAAAAAGAAACATTTTAAATATGAAGACACCAACACATTAAAAGTATGGAAAAGTATATCTTGTAAAACTAATCAAAAGAAAGCTGAGGTGGCTATATTAATATCTGACATAATAGATTTCAGAGCAAAGAATATTATCAGGGATCAAAGGGTCATTGAATAATGATAAAATGGTCAATTCATCAAGGGGACATAACGTTCCAAATGTTTATGCACCTAGTAATAGAGCCTCAAAATACATGAAGCAAAAACTCATAGAAGTGAAAGCAGAAATAGATAAATCTACAATCTTAGGGATTTGAACAATCTTCTCTCAATAATTGATAGACTATGTAGATAGAAAATCAGTAAGAATATAGAAGGAAAAGCACTAAGAATATAGAAGACTTGAATAACTTGACAAACAATAGCAGAATACACATTCTTTTTAAGTACACATAGAATACTTACCAAGATAAACCATATTCTGGGCATAAAACAAATCTTAATAAATTTAGAAGGTTTCAAATTATATGAAGTGTGTTGTCTGATCACTATGGAATTAAATCAGAAACCAAAAAAAGAAAGATATCTGGAACATTGGACACTAAACAATGTGCTTCTAAAGAATCCATTGGTCAAAAAAGAAATTAAAAAAAAAGCAAACGAGAAAGAATTTTTAAGTATTTTTGAAAATGAGGACATATATTGAAATTTAAAGGATGCAATCAAAGCAGTGGTTAGATATAAGCTTATAGCACTAAATGCCTATATGAGAAAAGAAGAAAGATCTCAAATCAATGACTCAATCTTCTACCTTAAGATACTAGAAGACAAGGAAAAAATTAAACCCAGAGTAAGCAGAAGAAAGGAAATAATAAAAATCAAACTGGAAATTAGTGAGACAGAAAACACAAAACAATAGACAAAAAGAAATGAAACCAAAAGCTGGTTCTTTGAAAAGAGTAATAAAACTGACAAACCTCTAGCCAAGCTGATTAAGAAAAAAAGAGAGAAGACACAAATTACCAATATCAGGAATGAAGGAGGTGACATCAAAACAGATTTTACAGATAATAAAAGGATAATAAGGAAATATTATGAACCACTTTAAGTCAATAAATTTGACAACTTAGATAAAATGGACAAATTGCTTGAAAGACACAAAATACAAAAGTTTGCTTAAGAAGAAACAGATAACCTGAATAACCCTTTATCTATCCAAGAAATTGAATTTGTAGTTTCACAAAGAAAACTCCAGGATGAGATGGCTTTATTGGTAAATTCTATCAAACATTTTGGCTTCCCAAAATGTTTGGGAAATCATATCAGTTCAAATCATATCAGTTCTACACAAACCCTTCCAGAAAATAGAAGAAGAGGAATACTCCCAATCTATTATATGAGGTGGTATTACCCTGATACCAGAACCAAAGATGTTATAAGAAAACAAAACTAAAAATATCCTTCATGAACACAGATGCAAAAATTTATTAACAAAATATTAGCAAGTTAAAATCAGTGAGTTAGATCTGTGAACAGTTTATTTAAATAACGAAAAGGCACAAATAAATAATATTAAGAACAAGAAAGAGGAATAACTTAAGAGATTTTGATTTTTACAGTATAGAAGAAATATATTTACATCTATATCTATATATCTACATTAATAAATTAAATGAATTATGACTGAAATTGGCTAAAAATGTTTTAAATGATGGACTAACAACCATAGAAGAAATTGAAAACATGATACAAAATTTTACTGCTAAGTAACATCCTAGGACTTATTTAGACCTGCGGGAGAAAAAGAAAGATATTCAACTTTCTTTACAAGGCTGGCATAATGCTGATACCAAATGTTGACGAGAAAAAAAAAACACAACAGCATAGACCAATCTCATATTTGAACACGTATACTATCTATGAACATAGAACTATCAGTTTGTTTTGCTAATATTTTATTTAGGATTTTAATATTAGCCAAGCAAATTTATAGTGTAATTAAATGAATTATGACCATGTATGGATTACCCAAGAATGGAAGGAAGACTGTTTCAACATTAGAAAATCTATTAATGCAACCCACTACATTAGCAGATTAAAGAAGAAAAGCTCTGAGGCCGGCCTGGTGGCTTAGCAGTTAAGTTCGCGTGCTCCGCTTCAGCGGCCCTGGGGTTCGCAGGTTCGGATCCCAGGTGCAGACCTACGCACCACTCATCAAGCCATGCTGAGGCGGTGTCCCACACAGAGGAACCAGAAGGATGTACAACTATGACATACAACTAACTACTGGGGATTTGGGGGGAAAAAAGGAGGAAGATTGGCAACAGATGTCAGTTCAGGGCCAATCTTCCTCAAAAAAAAAAAAGAAGAAGAAAAACTCATCTCAAAGCATGAGGGGAAAGCATTTCATAAAAGTCAATATCCATTCCTAAACAATAATAATAATAATAATAAACTCTTAGCAAACTTAGACTAGAGGGAGACATGCTTAACTTGATAAAGGAAATTCATACTAAAAACCTGTAGTAATCTTCATGCTTAATAGTGGAACACTTGAAGCATTCTCATTGTCACGAACAGGTCATGGATAGCCTACTATCACCATTCCTATTCAATATTTTACTAGAGATCCCAGAAAACGAAACAAGGCAAGAACAATAAATAGGAAGGATAAATATTTGAAAGAGGAAAAGTTGTCAGTATTTACAGTTATGATTGTCTATCTAGAAAACCCAAGAGTATCAGCTGGCAAACCCTTAGAACCAATAACAAAGTTCAGTGAAGAGGCCAACGGTGCTGGGACTAGGGTAAAGGAAGTGAGGCAACCAGGGTGCAAAATTTAAGGAGGCACTCACTGTTAGGGGCCCACCCTGTCCTCGCATGTCTGAGTGTCTTTTTTTTTTTTTAATTGATGTTTTAATGGTTTCTAACATTGTGAAATTTTGGGTTGTACATTTTTGTTTGTCCATCACCACATATATGACTCCCTTCACCCCTTGTGCCCACCCCCCACCCCCACTGCCCTGGTAACCACAGTCCAGTTTTCTCTGTCCATGTGTTGGTTTATATTCCACATATGAGTGAGATCATACAGTGTTTGTCTTTCTCTTTCTGGCTTATTTCACTTAACATAATACGCTCCAGGCCCATCCATGTTGTTGCAAATGGGACAATTTTGTCTTTTTTTATGGCTGAGTAGTATTCCATTGTATATATATACCACATTTTCTTAATCCAATCGTCAGTCGAGGGACACTTAGGTTGCTTCCACTTCTTGGCTATGGTGAATAATGCTGCAATGAACATAGGGGTGCATAAGCCTCTTTGGATTGTTGATTTCAGGTGCGTTGGATAGATTCCCAGTAGTGGGATGGCTGGATCATAGGGCATCTCTATTTTTAATTCTTTGAGGAATCTCCATACCGTTTTCCATAGAGGCTGCACCAATTTGCATTCCCACCAGCTGTGTATGAGGGTTCCTGTTTCTCCACATCCTCTCCAACATTTGTTGTTTTTTGTCTTGGTGATTATAGCCATTCTAACAGGCGTGAGGTGGTATCTTAGTGTTGTTTTGATTTGCATTTCCCTGATGATTAGTGATGTTGAGCATCTTTTCATGTGCCTATTGGCCATCTGTATATCTTCCTTGGAGAAGTGTCTGTTCATTTCCTGTCTGAGTGTCTTTTTAACTTTTGCACCTTATGTGCCTCACTTACTTCACCCTAATGTTGGCCCTGGGGGCCAGATACAAGATCAACATACAAAAATCAATAGGTTTCCTATGTACCAGTGTAGGACATTTGTCATCTCTTTGGCTATCCAGCCCTAAACACCTTTTCTAATTTGAGGGGACTCCCCTATTGTGTGAGTCTGGAAGGATCTGTCTCCCTCTAAGGAACTGAAGGGGCCTGATACTTCTTCCTGTCCCTTGGAGATTAGCGTGTTGGCACATGACCCAGGCTCAACCAGCTGCATGCTCCTGCCCAGGACTGTGACTCTTGAGGGAGTGACACAGAGACCAGAAACAGTGGATAAATTATTCACATTATTCTTGGCCATGTCAAGAGCCCAGTGGTAGAGCCATCATGCAAAGCCCAGCATCAGCTTTGGTGGCTGTGTCTCCTGGGGATGGTAATGTTCAGCAGTGGTGGTAGCTGGAATCCTTGGTGTCTTCCAATTTTCTGAAACTTGATGTCCTTCCAATTTCTTTGCTGCAACTAAAGACCTGATGAATACTGAAATAGCCATGAAAATACAGATGGTAGAATGAACATATGCATTTAACTCCTCTCCCTCCTGAAACCCCATTATAATGACAGAAAAGTGTTTTTTTTTTAAAGGAATAAATTCATAAGGAATAAGAGAATAAAAGAGGAGACAAAAGCAAGACAATTTTGAAGATAGAAAGCAGATGGCTAAATGATTTGGCAGACCCAAGAAAGTTAGATCTGAATCCAGGAAGGGAGAAAGCCTGGGAGCTACCTGATTTATACCACAAACCCCCTAAGACTCAAGGAAATGGCAGCCACAGGTATCTCTGAAAGCTGAAGTGCCGGTGGGGCTAGCAACAGGAGGATTGGTTGAAAACCTCTCTTAGAAGCAGTTAAATTCTTAGATTCCCTCCCTAACTCCATGCAGCCAAGAGGATAAAGCTAAAGTTTACATCCTGAAAGCTGAGATCATCCGCACACCCAAGCCATCTTCCCTAGTGGCTCTACAGCTCAGGCAGATTAGAGGAGCCACCACTGGGAAACTGACCATCCACAGAGGAAATACTCCAAGACACTGACATGAATGTTTCCCAATAAAACAGCCCAGCTAGGGAACCCTACACTAAACCACAGTCAAGAAGCCCCACCATGCGCACAGTGTCTCCTGTCAGTTTCTCAGTGACTCCCAATCTCTGACATGAGTAGAGAGCCAAGTACCATCAGACAAGGGAGGAAAGCAGTTCTTCTGAAAGAGAGAGACCAAAACAAATAAACATCAAGGAAAAAGCAACTACTTGGGGGAAACAGACTACACATAGAAAAGAAACATCAAAAAATTATCATACATGTTTTCAGGGAAGCCATAGTATGCATTAAGTAAATAAAGAAAAGGGAGGGGTCTATCAGAGAACCAAAAGAAGGGCTCTTGTAAATGAAAATATGATAGCAAAATGAAAAGCTCAGTGAAAGAGCTGGGAGACAGAGCTGAGGAGCTCTCCCCAAAGGTAGAACAACAACAAACGCATGGAAAATAGAACAGAAAATATCCAATAAGGTCACCAAGCAAGCAGGTGGCATAGACAGGATTAGAACCCTGGCAGTTTTGCTCCCAAGTTCATAAGGTCTTGGTGTAGGCAGACAAGTATTTTAATGAAACAGGATAAAGAGTATAGAAATATATACAGGAATGATAAAGATCACATTTCAAAGCAAATGGGAAAAGATGGATTACTCAAAAATATCTATGTGGCAATTGGCTGTATGAAAAAAAATGGATAAAAGTTGATCCTTCCCTTGCTCCATTCGCAAAAGAAACTCCCATATGAATTAAAGAGTGAAATGTCAAAAAAAAAAAAACGACTATGAAAGTATTAGAAGAAAACATAGGAGAATTTATAACCTTGGCATAGTGAAAGCCTCCTTAAGTGCAATGGCTGTAAAGAAAAGAGATAATTATAGCTACATCAAAATATAAAACTTTTTTCAACAAAAAAGGACATAAACAAAGTAAAAAGGGAAATAACAGATTGGAAGAAAGTATATAATCAGCAAAAGATACATACAGGCAACTCACAGAAGAGAAAACCTCAATGGCCAATAAAAATATGAAGAGATTAATGAAAAGTAACACGAGATGTCATTTTGTCCCGTCAGTTTGCAAAATAAAAAACATTAATTGATAATATCAAGGTCAGCAAAGCTGTGGCTGTCATGCCATTTTTAAAGGACCATTTAGCAGTATGTATATTAAAACTAAAAATGCACATACCCTTCAGAAGCACTTGGGTATACAAAGAAGAATTTACAAATATTTTCACTGTATTATGTAAAAGCCACAAACTGGGAACACCCTCAATATCATCAATATTCTAATAGCCAAATAAACCATGGTATATCCATAATATAGAATAGAACACAGAGGGTCAAAAAAACAAAGTAGGTTTATTTGACATTGAAAAACCTTGCCAATAAGTTGAGCAAAAAAATTCAAGTTCGTAAGAAGATATGTACAGTATGATGCCACTTACATAGAAAAAAATTCCCATAAAACAAAACTATATTTTTCAAAATAAACAGATAAAAGAATATAAATATACACTAAAGATCTAGAAAACACACACCAAGCTAATAATGGTGATGCACTCTGGAGAGGGCTGCTCTATCTGAATTACCTGGCTTTTCCCAGAGTGATGTATTCACATATTATTTGTATAAGTTGAAACATAATGTAATTTAAAAAGGGAAAAAAAGAAAGGGCTCTAGACAGACTTCCATTTGGAAGTTCATCACTACTCTACTGATAAGCCTGAGTCCTCCAAGAGCTAAGCCTCTGGAAAGCATGGCGTGCTCTCGGCCTCAGAGGGAGAGCCAGGAAGCTCCGGGAAGCTGCTCCATTCTCCAAGGTATCCCAACACAAAGACGAAACCCCCCAAGAACCTCGGCTTGCTGGATGGGCTGTTATTTTGGCAGGGGCAAATTGGGTTTCATGGGTCTCAAAGTACATACAATTTGGGGGCCTCTGTAAGAAAAAGAACACAAAATTTTGAACACAAAATGCCCATGGCCACCCTAATACCACCCAATATAGAGGAAATTGTGACAGAGTGGAAGTTTGAACTAAAAGAGACAGTGGTATTAAGTAATTGTGGTTAAAATACGTTACTTTTGCCAATTTTACAAAAATACGTGACCATGTGAACACACTGCTAGGACCCCTCCCACGGCCTTGGCAGGGGCCATCCAAGTCAGGAGACCTGAAAATTAACCTCCCTTACCTTCAGGGAAACCCACCTCTGGACAAATGACTTGGTTTAATTACCCACAAGGATAGGGCGCCATCTTCAATGGACATGAGGCACAAGATGAAGTCACAGAGAATCTGAAAATAGTGCCCTGGTGGAACCCTTTACTAGTATACTTGATAGTTAAGGTAAATTTCAAGTCAAGATAAAAATATCTAACATGTAACTTAAATCTCTCTGGAGATATTCTTTAAAGTTTCTTACCATTTCTGAATTATCTGAAGTCACGGGATCAAGAGTGTTCTGAGGAGAAAAATGAGAAATTAATTCACACTAGGCTTTGATATGATCCCCCTCCCCGTTTAATCTTCCAAGATGCTCTTTCTTCCCCCCAATTACTCTTGTGAGTAGTGAACGCATTCAGTAGACACGGAGGACCAATATTTGTGTAGTCCTCTGGCCTGCAGGATTTTAACACATGATCCCAATTCTCCAGGATCTTAAAACGTAGTTGGGGAAACAAGAAATAGACGATAAGAGGAAATACGAATGAACAGAGATAAGGAGATCAGTTAGCAGACCATTACAAAAATCTAAGTTGAAGTGAATATTTCTGATTGGTAAAATAAATTGGTGATGTGACAATTTTATTTAACTAACGCTAAATATAATTCATAGTACAGGAACTACCACTGTAACTGGCATTAGTTGGTTGCTTCTCAGTGTATGGAAACTGAGGAAACTATGGTGAGAAACCACACCCACTCCAAGGTGCTTTTCCCAGTTGGATAATAAATTAATCCCCCGAAAAAATATATCTGTTGAGCACTGAGTATGATACCATGGGGTTGGTTGATAAAAAGAAGCAGAAGGTATGGTCTTAATAATCTAGAAATTCATTATCTAGTTAAGAAAAAAGGACTTTCATGCACAACAGGATAACTAAAAATCAAGGTAGTATGTGGAAAGTGTCAAAAAAGGGGTACAAAGGGGGGCCGGCCCAGTGGTGCAGTGGTTAAATGCTTGCACTCCGCTTCTCAGCCCAGGGTTCACAGGTTCGGATCCCGGGCACGCACCAACACACCACTTGTCAAGCCATGCTATGGTGGCATCCCACATAAAGTAGAGGAAGATGGACAGGGATGTTAGCCCAGGGCCAATCTTCCTCAGCAAAAAAAAGAGGCGGATTGGCACTGAATGTTAGCTCAGGGCTGATCTTCCTCAAAAAAAAAAAAAAAGAGGTACGAAGAATAAAATCGGTGAGACTTTAGAGGAGGAAGTTCTCTGGGTTGGTAATTCTAGTGGTACAGGACCACACCCCGCAATTAAGACATTTACTGGAGAGAAAAGGCATTTATTCAAAGCCACTCAATGAGCTCAGCATGAATGTGAGTCTCGGTCTCCTATATTAATAATTTCACTAATTCTTTAGCACCTAACGGAATATGTTTAAAAGGCATGTGCAATTAATATTACTTGGTTAAAAAAATAATAACTGCACAACAGTTAGATGAGCAAATTAAATCTTAAGGTAATATTTACTGAGGAACTATATATTAAAGACACAGCATGAGGCCCAGGGACCACATATGATTAAACTGAAATGGTGGAGTTCCTAATTTCTAAGAAAAATATGAAGAATATATGTATTCCCGTATATTGAGCACAACTGCTTTATACCATCATCTGGGAAATTTAGTGGAATTCAAGGCATGAAAGGATTATTTCAGCCCAGGAGGGAAAACAATTACCTAAGAGGCATGAGTCAGGATCCAAGACCCTCCCCCCAGAAAAATGCCTGGGAGTGGTCTTGGGGGAGGGCAACTTTCTGACAAGAGAGAAACTGAGACTCCCATTCCTGAAAACACGTCCACTTTGTAATATCTTACTTTAACCAAAGCAAGTTGATTGGGGAGACATGGGCCAGTGTGCCTGTTGTCCTTTCTTATAGCCTCCAGAAGGCCTCATTTATCTTGAAGTTCCACAGAGGATTTAGGAATGTGGATCAAGGGTAGGGAGAAATGTATCAGTTGAAAGCAGAGATGTTTCCTACCAGTTGCAGCTGTCTGACTTTTTTCTTTGGATTTATAGTGAGTTGGGGGTGCTCCACTTCCTTGAGCCAAGACTCCTTGGGCAATTTATACACATCCAGCCAAATGTCTCCCGCTCCTGCATTGGGAAACCAAGCAACCATTAAGCAACTGCAAGCAGGCGACAAGTTTCATCTGAGAAATGGCCTGTCTTCTTCAAACCCCTGGCACGGAGACCAGCACACCCTCTCAGAACAGCAACTTTGAAAACTGAAGATGTGGTTCTGCATTGGTTCCTCTAAGTCCTCACTTATGGAAAGCTGTAGAGCTCCTCCCCCAAGCCACCACATCGAAAGGGAGCAGGGACTTCTCACACTCACAGCACTGATGTTAACAGTTTTTAACCCAACTGTCTGCTCTGCCTCATGCCCATGTTTTCTAGGTTCCAAATGGTACATTCCACTGACATTCTGTCTTACAGCTACTCCTGCCTGGGGAGGAAGGTGCATATACAGAATCAGTAACTGGGAGGAGTATGGCTGAGAGGGTTAGAATTGGGAGATGCTCCAAGAGAATTCTTCTGACCAATATTTAAGGAGATGACAACCCATGGGGTGACTGTGGGACTTTATCTTGTCAAAGAAACATGCTCAGCTTCTATACCAAATACCTGCCAACCTGGGAAAGGTTACTTTCCCATGGTATAGGATTCTGGCTAAATGTTTCCTTAAAAAAGTAATCATCTGAACACCTTGATTTCAGACTTCTGGCTTCCAGAACTGCGAGAGAATAAGTATCTGTTGTTTTAAGCCACCTAGTTTGTGGTACTTTATTACTGCAGCCCTAGGAAGCTACTACAGATAGTAAAAAAGTTTCCTTTGATACATAAAACATTATAAAATATATATCTTCCTCAAGAACCTAACATTTGAGGGGCCTGGGGCAAGAGTATAAATAGAGGCCCATATACCATATGTCTAAATATTTAAAAGTTAAAAATCAAGCTAACAATCATTTGAATAAAACATGTTCTATTACCACAGTAATAATTGCAACAGGTAAGATCCAATGACGAATGCTAAAATTGGTGGGCAAAACTTTAAGGAGAAACAGGATATTTGCAAAGTCTCAAAGTATCTCCCCCCAAATGTTTCTCAATTACTGTGGTAGTTTCAAAATATGTCCAAAAATTCTTTGATCTTCCCACCTCCAGGAAGTGGTGCTGAAATTCTCTCCCCTGGAGTGTGGTCTGGACTTAGCGACTTCTAACAGAGTACGGCAAGGGAAACAGAAGCTCAGGCGTGGAGGAACCTGGCAGACGCCACTTTCACCAAGTGATCAAGGTTGACATCAGCAGTAGTGAGTTACGTTGCTATCACATACCCTCTGATGCGATGCAGGGAAAAGAGCACTTCACCTCTGTGGTATCTTCCCCCAAACCCTTAATCCCACTTGAATCATGAGAAAAATTCAGACAAACTGAAATTGAGGGACATTGCACAAAACTTCTGACTGGTATTCTTCAAAAGTGTCAAGGTCATGAAAAACAAGGAACGACCAAGACATTGTCACAGAGAGGAGTAGACTAAGGAGATATGATGACTAAGCGCAACATGGTATCCTGGATTGAACCTTGGAGCAAAAAAATTAGATTAGTGGAAAAACTGGTGAAATCTGAAAAAAAATCTGTAGTTAATAGTATTATACCGGCCCTGTGGCGTAGCAGTTAAGTGCACGCGCTTAGCTGCTGGTGGCCCGGGTTCGGATCCTGGGCGCACACCGACGCACCGCTTGTCAGGCCATGCTGTGGCAGCGTCCCATATCAAGTGGAGGAGGATGAGCACAGATGTTAGCCCAGGGCCAGTCTTCCTCAGCAAAAAAGGAGGAGGATTGGCATGGATGTTAGCTCAGGGCTGATCTTCCTCACACACACACACAAAAATCGTATTATACCAATGTTATTGCTTAATTTTGACAAATGAACCAGGGTTATGTTAAATGTTGATACTAGGGAAGCTGGGTGAAAGGTATAGGGGAATTCTGTACTATTTTATAAGTTATTTCTAAATAAAATGTTTGAAAAACAAAAGTGTTTATCTGGAAGAGACTGCAAATCTGAACCTTCTTAACAGCCTTTGGTTAACTTGCCTTGTAGGAGGAAGGCTGCAAAGTCCCCTCCTTGAGAAATCTCCATCTTTATACAGGTGGTTTGCTTGCTGGTGTCATCCTGAAAAGAAGAGAGATGCTGACAGAGTAAGGTCAGCCTAATGACAGAGAAGAATGTATTTCAGGGCCTTCTGTGGTTCACACTAGAGAACATAAATCTTTTTAAAGCTTGAGACATGAAAAGATGCCTCAAACTATTTCATACTTTCCATTTTTTGTACAGGAATTGGACAAGATCATATGTAAAAAAGTGGAACTCAATTTTCTGTCTAGAAGTTTTTGGACTTATTTCCTGGTTTGTAGACTACTCCTGATGATTTGCGGTGATTTCATACTATCTGATCTCCTGGTCAGGTTTGCAAACCCTAAAGATCTAGGCCAGCACTCAGTTATCCAAAATGAGTTGAAATAAGTTCTACATGACACTGAAAACTCTGGTCAGTTTGCTTGAAGAAAGCCTCTATCTAGACTATCGTAGTGTCTTAGTCTGTTCAGGCTGCTATAACAAAATACCATAGACTGGGTAGCTTATAAATAATAAACATTTATTTCTCACAGTTCTCGAGGCTGGAAATCCAAGATTTCCAAGGATTTCAAGAACCCGGAAGATTCAGTGTCTGGTGAGGGCCAGCTTCCTGGTTCATAGACTGCCTGCCACCTTCTCGCAGCGTCCTCACACAATGGAAAGCTCAAGAGAGCTCTCCTGGGCCTCTTATAAAGCACTAATCCCATTCATGAAGGCTCTGGAGTCCCCTGTATTTCCCATAAACTGGTAATCAGATCTAGAGGTTTGATTAGATTTAGGTTCAACTGTTTTGGCAACAATACTCCACAGGTGTGCAGTCTCCCTCCTGCATCACATCAGGAGCTCATAACAGCTGGTTGTTCTCTCGTAGTAATGTGAAGGTTGAGCATTGAGAACAGGTGTTGTCATCCTGGCTCATCAGTGATCAAGTTCTCCATCAGCCACCAATGGTCACTGCCTAGACCATTACTCTGCAAAATGGCTATAAAATTAAGATAGCCCAACTGGATCACTCCTTCTGCATTTGTTAGAATTCTTCTGTAAAGGAGATCCTTCCATCATCAACTATTTGATTACCCTGAAATACAGCCTATATAGGAAAGTCAGGATAAATGCTTGATTCTTTCCCTTAGTTTTCAGAAGATTGAGTCTGTACCCTAGCAACTTACAAAGCTAACAATGAAGTCTTCAAAAATATATTATGAATTAATGATTTTTTTTTTTTTTGTGAGGAGATCAGCCTTGTGCTAACATCCACCAATCCTCCTCTTTTTTTGCTGAGGAAGACGGCTCTGGGCTAACATCTGTGCCCATCTTCCTCCACTTTATGTGGGACGCCGCCACAGCATGGCTTGCCAAGCAGTGCGTCGGTGCGCGCCCGGGATCCGAACCAGCGAACCCCGGGCCGCCGCAGCGGAGCGCGCGCACTTAACCGCTTGCGCCACCGGGCCGGCCCCGAATTAATGATTTTTTAAAAACAGTTTTTGGTGTGTTCTAACCCGGCAACACTACTTTCTTTGTAATGTCCCTGTCAATTTGGATATCAGAGTTATGCTGCTCTCATAAAATGAGTTGAGGATTATATATTCTCTAAATGTTTTTAGAGAGTTTTTTTAAACATAAAATTTAAATACAGTTAAAGGCACAAATATTAAATGTACATCTCGATGAGTTCTGGCAAATGTATACATCTGTGTAACTAACACACAGTCAAGGCATAAGACATTACCATCATCCTAGAAAGTTCTCCTAGTACCCTGTTTTAGTCAACTACCCCTCTATAGGCAACCAATGATCTGATCTTCCTCACCAACATAGATGAGTTTTTCCTGTTCTTAAATTTCATATAATTGGAATCATACAGAATGTACTCTTTGTACATTCTGGCTTCTTTCACATAACTTAAAGTCTTTGAATTTTGTCCACTGTGTTGTAAGCATCTCTACTTCATTACGTTTTATTGCTAAATAGTATTCCATTGAATATACCACAAATTTTTATTCATTCTGTTTCCAGTTTTTGATTTTTTTTAATAATTTTATTTATTTATTTTTCCCCCAAAGCCCCAGTAGATAGTTGTATGTCATAGCTGCACGTCCTTCTAGTTGCTGTATGTGGGACGCGGCCTCAGCATGGCCAGAGAAGCGGTGCATCGGTGCGCGCCCGGGATCCAAACCCGGGCCACCAGCAGCAGAGCGCGCGCACTTAACCGCTAAGCCACCGGGCCGGCCCATCCAGTTTTTGATTATTATAAATAAAGCTTCTATGAACATTCTTGTACAAATGTTTTTGTGGATATATGTTTTTCTTTCTCTTGGGTAAATACCTAGGAGTCAAACTGATGGGTCATAGATTTAACTTCGTAGAAACTACTTACTGTGGTTGTACCATTTTACACTCCTGCCAGCAGCGTATCAAAGTTCCTATTGCTCCACATCCTTGTCAGTATTTCGTATGCTTGGTCTTTTTAATTTTAAGCATTATAATAGGTGTGTAGTAATATTTCATTATGATTTTAATTTGCATTTCCTGTTAACTAATGATATTGGGTATTTTTAAAAATTAGTTATTCATATATCTTCTTTTGTAAAATGTCAGCTCAAGTCTTTTGCTTATTTTTTATTGGGTTGTCTTTTTTACTATTGATTTGGAGTTCTTTATATATTCTGGATATACTTTAAAAGGTATATATACACATTGCAGGTACTTTCTCCCAGTCTGTCTGTGGCTTGCTTTTTTATTTTCTTAATAGTATCTTTATAATAATAATAATTATGAAGACCTTTATTATCAGGTGCTTGCATTTTGTTAACTTTTTTGAAAAAATCAAGTCACAATGTTTTATTACAAATTAAAAACGAGGTTCTTAAAAATCTCAACTTGGCTGGATATGAAACAATTTAAAAACCTTTAAAGGTGTATTGAGAAAAACCAAGCTTTTTAAAAGAAACCTAGTTGGTATTACCAAAAAGAGACGTTTTTAGGTAAAAATAAAAACTGGATGCTGCACAGATAATGCCGATAGTTCTAGTTATCTGGTCAATGGTCAAAAAAACAAGCACTTAAGGTCTTCTGCTCCTATCTTTTGTTCACTTCTTATTGCTGGAAATTCACATTCATTTCTTGAACCAGGTGATGGTATACAGGTGGTAAGCCGACATTTACTCAGCCTGGCCCTGCTCAGCCTCAGAAGCTGATGAATTCTCAGCCAAATTCTCGGCTGCTTTTGTCCTTTTGCCATCTTATGGCTTAGGTTTTCCGGGTGTTTGCGTCAGCAGCAGAAGTTGCCGGGTAGCGGCGTGAGTGGCTGCTGACCTCAGGTCTCATCTCCTTGGTTTTCCTTCTCCTCTTCATTGCCATCCTTTCTGGGCCGTCTTGGGCAAGGAGGGCCAGTCCCCAGATACAGATTCTGTCTCGCTGTCTACCCTGTTCTGCACCCTGCTTGTCAGGCCCTCCATCCCTTCTCCCTGCACAGGATGGTGGGCATGCCGTGCTCGGCACCTGCAGGGTCTCCACACTTAGGCAGGTGGGGACTGTCACCTGTACCAGGCCCGATGCTGTGGGCCTGGCCTTCAGGGGCACTCTCTGACCCCTCGTTCTTTTCGCCACTCTCACTAGTCTGGAATTCTGCTGGTAACGGCGTGGACGTGGAGACGATCACAATGGTTCAGGTCTGCTGCGGATTCACTGTCTTGCACTGAACTCCACCAAGCCTGTAACATCTGCTGCTTCTGCATCCTGTTCTCCTTCGACAACATCAAACTCCACCACCTGTCCATCTCGTACACCACAAAGGCACTTCCTGGGGTTATTCTTTGTGGCAATCTGCTGTCCAAATACATCTTCCTTGATGTCCTTCCTGTTGACGAAACCATATGCGTTCTTCACATGGAACCATCTGACTCTTCCCTAAACCTTTGTTGCGATGACCTCCTTGTCCCCAACAGTGGGTGCCACTGCTCCCTGTGCTACAGCAGGTGGTATGGGTGTGGGCAGTGCAGAGGCTGCTGCTGGGTATCCACCTCGCCAGGGTTGTGGTCATAGTGACTGGGGCCGGCACGACAGCTGCAGCTCCTTCTGGGGTGTGAGGGTCACTAGGCTGGGCACTGGTGGGGTTGCTCAAGGTTCTCTGGGGTCTGCTCTCAGCTCCTGCTACCGATTGAACTCTAATAACATCTTTTGATGAGCAGAAGCTTTAATTTTTTTAACAGCTTTATTTGGGGTGTAATAACACATAATAAACTGCACATTTGAAGTGTACAATTTGATAAGTTTTGACATGTGCTATCCCTTGAAACCATCACCACAATCAAGATACTGAACATATTCATCGCTCCCAAAAGCTTCCTCCTGCCCCTTGGTAATCCTTCCCTCCAACTTTCTCCCACCCCACCCTAGGCAAAAACTGATGTTTTCTGTCACCCGATTAGTTTGTATTTTCTAGAATTTCATATAAATGGAATCATACAGTATGTATTCTTTTTTGTGTGACTTTTTTCACTCAGCATAGTTATTTTGAGATTTACCCATGTTGTTACGTGCATTAATAGTTCATTCCTCTTTATTGCTGAGCAGTATTCTCTTGTGTGGCTATACCACAATCTGCTTATCAATTCACCTGTTGACGGATGTTTGGGTGGTTTCTAGTTTTTGGCTATTACAAATAAAACTGCTATGAACATTCATGTACCAGTCTTTGTATGGAGATAATGCTTTCATTTTTCCTGGGTAAATACCTAGGAGCAGAATGGCTGGATCACATGGTAGGTGTATATTCAACTTTTTAAAAAACTGCCAGAATGGTTGTACAGTTAAACTTTACCACCAGCAGTGTATGAGAGTTCCAGTTGTTCCATATCTCTGCCAACACTTCGTATGGTCAGTCTGTCTAATTTTAGGCATTCTAATACACGTGTAGTGGCAGCTCATTGTTATTTTAATTTGCATTTCCCTAATGACTAACGATGTTGAGCATCTTATTTGCCTTCCATATATCTTCTTTGGCAAACTGTCTTTCTTTTCAAATCTTTTGCCCATTTTAAAAAATGGGTTATTTCCTTATTTTTGAGTTTGAGTTTGAGTTTTGAGAGTTCTTTCTATATTCTGGATATAAGTCCTTCATCAGATAGGTGATTTACAATTATTTTCTCCCAGTCTATTCCTTGTCTTTTTATTCTCTTAACAGTGTCTTTTACAGAAGTTTTTAATTTTGATTAAGTTCAATTTATCAATGTTTTCTTATATAGATTGTGTTTTTGATATTGGAGCTAAAAAATCTTTGCCTAACCCAAGGTCACAAAGACTTTCTCCTATGCTTTCTTCTGGAAGTTGTATAGTTTTAGATTTTACATATAGGCATATGATCCATTTTGAATTAATTTTTCTATATGGTGTGAGGAATAAAAAGTTTTTAATTCTGATGAAGTCCAATATCAATTTTCTCTTTTATGGTTAGCACTTTTCATGTCCTAAGAAATCTTTGCCTGTGCCAAGGTTGCAAAAATATTTTCCTGTGTTTTCTTCAAGAAGGATAATGTTTTAGCCTTTACGTTAGGCCTATAATCCATATCAAATTAATTTTTGTGTGTGTGTGTGAGGAAGATTAGCCCTGAGCTAAAATCTGATGCCAATCCTCCTCTTTTTTGCCTAGGAAGATTGGCCCTGGGCTAACATCCATGCCTATCTTCCTCTACTTTATCTGGGACGCTGCCACAGCATGGCCTGACAAGTGGTGCATTGGTTCATGTCTGGGAGCATGGCCTGACAAGTGGTGCATTGGTTCATGTCCGGGATCCAAACCTGCGAACCCTGGGCTGCTGAAGCAGAGCGCACGAACTTAACTGGTACGCCACTGGGCCAGCCCCTCAAATTAATTTTTATATATGGTGTGAAGTAGGGGTGAGGTTCATTTTTTCCCCCATTTTTTACCTAGCATTCCAGCATCATTTGTTGAAAACACTTTCTTTTTCCCACTGAACTGCTTTGGTGCCCAATAACGGTACTTTTTATAAGACAAACTACAACTAAAAATCTACTCTGGGGGCCAGCCCTGTGGCCTAGTGGTTAAGTTCGGCGCACTCCGCTTCGGCAGCCCGGGTTCGGTTCCCGGGTGTGGACCTATACCACTCATTGGTGGCCATGCTGTGGTGGTGACCCACATACAAAATAGAGGAAGATTGTCATGGATGTAGCTCAGGGCGAACCTTCCTCAAGCAAAAAAAGGAGGATTGGCAACAGATGTTAGCTCAGGGTGAATTTTCCTCAGCAAAAGAAAAAGAAAAATCTACTCTGAGCAATCCTCTCTCTTTTTTGGATTCATTGATTCACAAAACACTTGCTGAGAACCTACAGTGTGCTAGGAACAAGGGATATATGGGTGAATAAGACATGTCCCCCGCCCTTGGGGAGCTCACATCCAAGAGAAACAGCAGTCACAGAAACAAGTAAGTACGGAGGGTGGAGAAAATACCATGATAGAAATGTTGTTCTATATGGTGGTGGCACAGAAGAGGGAGAGAGAGCTCTTCTTGGGTATATCAGGGGATGTATCTCAGAGGAGATACTGAGCTGGTCTTGAAGGAAATTTAAGGGAACGAGGAAAATTTAAGAGGCACATAGTAGTCAGGGAGGCAAGGAGAGCGCTCCAAGCAGAGGGGATAGCATGGGCAAGGGAACAGAATGTGTATCAGCCTGGAAAATTTAGGGACTTGTAAGCAGTTAGTAGATATGCTGGTCTGGTGGTCAATTTGGACTGGAGTCCCTTAGTAATTTTCTTCTTTCAACAACAGGGTATATAAATCCAAGGCATTCAGCATGTACCCTCTGATGGCGGGGGATCTTTGAATTTGATGTTTTGGAGGCTCCCTGACCCGGGAGTCCGTATTTCTTTCCACTCTAGGACAGCTGTCATCACCTCCATATTAAAAGTAAACTTAATGTGCTACAGCTTTTGGTCCAGCTACAGGTGAAAGAAGAGGAACTTACCACTTCATTAATGGCTTTGATTAGGAAAAGACCATCCTTATAAAGATAAAACAGTCTAATGATACCTGAAACAGAAAAATAAGTGAGAATGTAAGACAGACAAGTGAGCCAAAGAAGAACTGGACTTTTCCATTTGACTTTCTGAAATTATCACCATAAGCTCACGCACTCTTAGGCCTCCACCCTGGCCCCTCCATTGCCCAGGGTGATCATGGTATCCCTGCCTTCCTCCACCTCTCACTTGAAATGTTCAAGTTCTTTTCCCGCCTGGGTCCTCTCCACCTAACCTGGCCCTTCCTCTTCTCCTGGAAGGCTCTGTAAGCGCTTCAGCCACATCAATCCACTCCTTGATTTCTATCCGCCTGTTTTAGCACATCATCTGTACTGCCTCACATTGTTATCCAATCGTTTCCTGTGAGGGTATTTTATTCCTCTCAGCGAGTTCATAGATTCCTTGAGGGAAAGAATCATATCTCACCGTTCTATGTGCCTCATCTCTCAACCCCCAACAAGCTCGTCATGCAGTTAATTTTGTTGAATTAATAATTCTGTCACTCTAGTTCCCATTTAACCTAAGGGCTCTATATATGATCATGACCCACCATGACTTCTTACTTCTTTCTTTAGGTGCCTCCCAGATACTCAGAACTTGCTTCTACACCCATAATACAGACCTTGTAAAGGCATCTGGCCCACCACGGGTGAAAGTCTAACTCAACCCAATCAACATCCAAGGGATATCTACTCCATGACCATGAATGTGCTAGGGACAACCAAGGCAGTCTCTGTCTTCAAAGTCATCACATTGAGGGTCACACAGACATGAAACCAATTAGATATAATGCAGTGTGACAAATGCAATCCTATCTTTAAGACCAAACTTCTCCTGAGTATCAACATTCCCACTCCAGATGCCTCAAAGCTGTGCATGCTCAAATGGAACTCTTCAACTTACGGACCCCTGAAACCTTATTCTCCTATAACTGCTATCAAGGCATGGCATCATCATCCACCCTGTTATCTAAGGCAGAAAGGAGTCATTTTTCTTCACTTATCCTTCATATACCTCCCCACTCCCGACCTCACACACATATTCCATCACTCATCAAGTTTTTCCATTACATTTTCCTTTTCATTTTAAAGCTTTTTATTTTGAACTAATTTTAGACTTACAGAAAAGTTGTGAAAATAGTACAAACAGTTCCCTTATTCCTTCACCCATTTCCCCTAATGTTAACGTCTTATAACCATAGTACAATTCTTCTTTTCATTTTAACGGACCTTGCCTTGGTTCAGACATTCATAATTTCTCTCCTCAATGAATGCAATAGTTCTTCCTGGTCTCTCTGCCTCTCATTTTGACTTTTTCAAACTCCTAACCAGTGTGCCCTTCCTAAAATGCCAATCTGGTCAGGTCGCTCTCCTGCAGACACAGTCTCCTCCAGGACACTGTCTACAGTTCTCTATACTGTAGTCCCATTGAGGGCCTGATTCATCCTCAGACAAGAGGGAAAAAAGCAAGCCCTGGTTCCTGCGAGCGGCAGGATTGCTGAATGCCCAAAGGGTAGGGGACTCTGGGGCCACGCCGCCTGGTTCAAATCCTGCCCGTGCCACTTACTTTCCATGTTAGCTCAAGTAACCTCCATGCCTCAGTTGCCTCTTCTGAAAAACAGGGATAATAAGTTGTACTTACCTCCTAGGGCTGTTGTGAGGGTTCAATGGGCCTCTATACGTGAAATGTTAGAATAGTGCCTGGCACACTATACTGTTCTGTAGGTGTCAGTTACCACTACATGACCATGTCTGGCTCTGCTGATTTCTAGAAAGGAGATTAAATTGAGCAACAGTCTACAGGTACCCGTTAATTAAGCTAAAAAGGAAGATAAAGAACAAGTACCCATTTCATCCACAGGAGCAATAAGTATTTCACTCCCCAAATCTGTGGCCCAGATGGAAGTGACATCAACCTTAAGTTTCTCCCAAACATATACTTGTTTAGCATTGTAGAGATTATAGATGGAGAATCCTTTGGCTCCTCCAATAAACACATAGTCTTGGGAAACAGCCATACAATTCGGCATGTTGTTGAGCTGGGAAAACAAAAACAAAGAAAAAAAAGGAATGATTTTCAGCTGTCACCATCTGCAAGTAATATGAACTAACTTTTCAAAGAGGGACGTGGGCCCTTCCTAGCTATAATATCATCCCCAAACATAGTGCTCATCTAATTATCTTGCCCAAACATCAAGAAAGTCATAGCATTCCATTTTTAGGGGAAAGGGGCCAGAGAAAACAAAGAAGCTGGGAATAAATGCACATTCATAACACTAAGCATGACTACAAGCCCTGTGATGAGTGGACAAGAGGCCCCATTCCCTGTACTTTATTCATCTAGAACACTGTGGAAAGAGTTATAGGTAAGGCACTGGCAGATTCTCAACCATCAAGCAAGATTAACATATTCAGAAAGATTTTTAAATAACAACAGAATATAAAAGACACTCTGCATAATCTTCAATTAACCAGAACACCCACTTCCCCAGGCAATTACTAGATCGATTTTCATCAACATCAGCATGCCTATAATCTTTCAAAAATGCACCTGTCTTATTGAATGAAAGTTCCTGGTAGGAATTCCTTCCCTGGATCAGGTGTTTTCATTTATTAACACTGAACTGAGAAACAGGGACTCCTGGTCAGCTGCTCCATACCTTGCTTTCTACAAGTGGAGGGTAGATGGTGGGCTGGATCCAGCTGAGCTCAGATTTCCTCAATGTGTCCCTCTCCTCAATAACTTCCCACGACCGGTCAAACAGAAGGTTCACCAGCTTGTTGATCATTCGATAAGGCTGAGGCAGGGAATCTAGCTCCTCATCTGGGTCCTTGAATACATAATCCTCTTCATCATCTTTAGACCAGTCCTTCTCTGTTGGGGATGGCACCTCCAGAGGCCCCTTTTGTGTAAAAACGGGCAGCCTCATCTTCTGGGCTCGACTTCCTTTGGGGGATGACATCACAGAAGGTGGCACTGAGAACTTCTATGAAACTCTGAAAAGCTGATAAAGAAGTAAGCAAAGGTACTTTCAGAAAAAGGGGAAGTTAGCAGAAGATAGAGCATCATCCTCTCTACCACAAATAGCCTACGGGGACTATATTCTAGAGACTGGCACTTTCCTTATTGATCACAGGGTTGTTACCACATTACTCTTCATATTAGTAGGGATGTCAGCAGAGACAGGTATTCACTATTCACATCCTCCAGGCCTGCCCAAGATGATGTGTGCTATGATGGAAGGAGAGGAGTTTGGCATCCTTGTTGCCTTTCTTCACCTCCTAAGAGAATGGCTGTCTTTCTGTCCCAAATAGAATTCACTCTGTCTCCGACAATGTATGCTTTCTCATTCTTCCATCTCTGCAAACGGCTGTGCTCAAGCCCGCTGGGTATGAGCCATGACTTCTCCCCTTCCCTTTCCCTCACCTCCAACCTGATGCAGTCAAGCACTTCCAATCCTTGCTGTCCAATCTGTTTCTTTCTCCCTATTGCCACTGCTGCCACTCAGGAGTTCTGTAGGTACAGTGCCCAGAGCCTATGAGACTTTTCAAGGGCCTACAGAAATGTTTGAGACTTGAAAAAAAATTGACTGAATAAAAACCCCACAACATCAACATAATTAAATATTCACAGAAATATTTACAACTTATCAGCTCCACTCTGTGTGTGTATGAAGTTCAAGCCTATAAGAAAAGAACAAGTCATCTGTACCTTATAAAACTCAAAACTGTACAAATTATAACAAGGCTTGCAAATGTTATAGTTTAAAAAAGGCATTTAATGTAGAACACAGGGTACATTTTAAGATGCTTAATGTAGTGGGGTAGGGTCTTGCACTGTCAGGTGCCTGGGGGCCATGGAAGTCTTATAAAGGCCCTGCTGCCATCACCTTTGCTCACCTGCTAAAGTACATTTGTGATGTTTCCAGCACATGAGCGAGAGGAGACTAGCTAAGTCTGAGTCTGAGTCTGAGTCTGAGAGGAAAGAACTACCTGAAATAATTAGAGGGAACAGTAACCTGAGCTCACACAGGTCCAGGAATGCCTGTTTCCACTAGCAACAATAGAAAACCTCAAGATTCACAAACACTGAGTAGAGTACTCAGAAGAGTCTTGCCAAGTGGGAAAAATTAGCCCTAGAATAAATGCTGCTCTGGTATCACCCACCAAATCTTAGAAGTTAGAAAATTAAACTATTACTAAGTAACTTAACCGCATGCCAGAATAAAGCTCAAGAATATTTATAAGAATACAAAAATATCCAGCACTGGGCTGGCCCGGTGGCACAGCGGTTAAGTGCGTGCGCTCCGCTGTGGTGGCCCAGGGTTCGGACCCTGGGCACGCACCAACGCACCGCTTGTCAAGCCATGCTGTGGCGGTGTCCCATATAAAGTGGAGGAAGATGGGCACAGATGTTAGCCCAGGGCCAGTCTTCCTCAGCAAAAAGAGGAGGATTGGCAGATGTTAGCACAGGGCTAATCTTCCTCACACACACACACAAAAATATCCAGCATCCAATGAAGTAAAATTCACAGTGTCTGGGATCCAATAAAAATATTACCTGGCATACAGAGAGGCAAGAAAATATAAGCCATAATAAAGAGAAAAATCAATCAATTGAAGCTGACTCATAACCAAAACAGATATTAGAATTAGCAGACAAAACAGTTATGAGTATATTCCACATGTTCGAAAACCAAGAGGAGATACTGAACATGTTAAGTAGAGATGTGGAAGATCTAAAAAAGAAAAAAACCAAACTGAACCTTTAGAGATGAAAACTACAATGTCTGAGATGAAAAATACACTCAGTTAGATTAATAACAAGATTTCAGAGCAAAACAAATTAGATGGCAGAAAAAAGATTAGTGAATTTGAAGGCACAGCAACAGAAACAAAACGAAACAAAGAGAAAAAACAAATGAAGAGAGTGAGGTGTGCGATAACTTGAAGTAGCCTAATCCACGGGTGACTGAAACCCCCAGAGGAGGGACGAGACAAAAAAAATTTGTAGAAATTGGGGCTGGCCCAGTGGTGTAGAGGTTAAGTTTGCACGTTCCACTTTGGCGGCCCGGGGTTCACAGGCCCAGATCCCAGGTGCGGACCTACGCACTGCTCATGAAGCCGTGCTGTGGTGGCATCCACATACAAAATAGAGGAAGACTGGCACAGATGTTAGCTCAGGGACAATCTTCCTCAAGCAGAAAGAGGAGGATTGGCAACAGACATTAGCTCAGGGCCAATCTTCCTCACCAAAAAAAAAAAAAAAAAAAGAAAAAAGAAAAAAAAATTGTAGAAATAATGGACAAAAATTTTCTAAATTTGATGAAAACTGTAAACTCACAGATGCAAGAAGAAAAACAAATCCTAACCAAATAAAACATGAAGAAATTTATACCAAGGCATATCATGATCAAATTGCTCAAAACTGGTGATCAAGACAAAATATGAAAAGCAGCCAGAGGAAAAAACACATGTACAGAAGGACAAAGTAAAGGACAACAGCAGATTTCCTGAAGGAAACAGTACAAGTGAGAAGACAGTGGAGCAACATCTTAAAAGTACTGAAAGAAAAAACTTGTCAATCAAGAATTCTACACCCAGGAAAAATACCTTTAAATAAATGAATGCAAAATACAAAACAAAAACTCATACAAAAACTGAAAGAATTCATCAGCAGGAGACCAGGATTATAAGAAATAAAGTTAAAGAAAGGCCTCCAGGCAGAAGAAAAATGGTATCAGATAGAAATATGAATCTACACAAAGGAATGAAAAGCACTGGATGATAGCTATGTAGGTAAATACAAAAGACTTTCTCTTATTATTTAAATCTCTTTGAAAGATATTTAAAATATTTAAACAAAAAAATAATAATAGTGTAGTAGGGGGTTAATAGCACATGTAGAAGAGATATATATGACAATAATAGTTCAAAGGCTAGGAGGAGAGAAATGGAAGTAAATCAATACCACTTGAATGTAGACTGATAAGTTAAACATGCATACCATAAACGCTAAAGCAACCACTAAAGTAATAAAATTAGGAGTTACAGCTAATAAGCCAACAAAGGAGATAAAATGGAATCATCAAAATATTCAATTAAAAAAGGTAAGAGAGAAGAAAAAGAGCAAAAAACAGATGAGACAAACAAAATATATGGCGAAACCCAACCATATCAATAATCATATCAAATGTAAATAGTCTAAACACTCTAATCAAACAGCAGAAATTGTCAGATTAGACAAAAGAGAAAGATTCAATATATGCTGCCCACAAAAAATCCACTTTAAATATAAAGACATATTTAGGTTAAAACTAAAAGAGTAGAAATAGATTTACCATGCTAACGTTAATTAAAAGAAAGCTGGAGTGGCTATATTAATATTAGATGATGCATATTTCAGATCAAAGAATATTACCTGGCATAAAGAGGTTTGTTTCATAATAATAAGAGGGTCATTTCATCAAGAAGACATAATAATCCTAAATATTTATGAACCTAATAACAGAGCTTCAAAGCACATGAAGCAAAACTGAGAGAATTTCAATGAGAAATAGACAAATCCAAATTATAGTCAGAGATTTCAATACCCTCTCTCAATAATTTATAGACTATGTAGACAAAAAGATCAGCAAGGATACAGAAAACTTGAACACTAATTTGATATGACTGACATTCTAGAATACTCTACCCAACGACAACAGGATACAAATTCTTTAAGTACACATAAAACATTTATCAAGGCAAACCATATTCTGGGCTATATAAACTAAGTCGTAATAAATCAAAAGTACTCAAGTCATACAAACCATGTTCTCTGACCACACAGAATTATTTTAGAAATCAACAACAGAAAGATATTTAGAAATACACAAAACCTCAAAATATTAGGAAACTAACATTTCTTAATAACTTATGGATCACTACTACATACCTATTAGAATAGCTAAAATAAAAAAAGTATATTGACAATATGAAGCCCTGGTGAACACGCAGAGCAAATGGACTCACATGCATTGCTGCTGGGAATGCAAAAGGATAGCAGCACTCTGGGAAAGGATTTGGCAGTGTCTTATCAAGTTAAACATGTATTTACCATATGACCCAGCAATACCACCCCTGAGTATCTACTCTAGGAGTATGAGAACTTATGTTCTCACAAAAGCCTGTACACAAATGCTTATAGCAGCTCTATTTATAATTGCCAAAAATCGGAAACAATCCAAATGTCCTTCACCAGGTGAATGGATAAACCAACTGTGGTATAGCCATATTATGGAATATTATTCAGTAACAAAAAGGAAAAGACTACTGATACATACAAAAACATGATGAATTTCAAAGGCATTATTCTGAGTGAAAGAAACCAGTCTCAAAATTTATGTGCAGTATGATTTCCATTTACACGGCATTCTTGAAAATGCAGAACGAGTAATGGGAAACAGATCAGTGGCCGTCAGGAGTTATAGGTGGAGGGAGGCTGTTATTTCAAAAGGGTAGCATGAGGGTGTTTTGGGGCATGATAAAACTGTTTCATCCAGATTGGAAAGGAAGACGTAAAGCTATCTTTATTCCCAGATAATATGATTATCTATATAGGAAATCTGATGAATCTACCAAAAAATCTACCAGAACTAATAAATGAGGTTAGCAAGGTTGCAGGATACAAGCTCAATATACAAAATCCTATTGTATTTGTATATACTGGCAACAAACGATCAAAAATTGAAATTTAAAAATACTATTTATAATAGTATCAAAAATATGAAATACTTAGGGACAAATCTGACAAAAGATGTACACAAGACCTGTACACTGAAAGCTGTGAAATATTGCTGAAACTAAAGAAGACCTAAATAAATGGACAGAAATACTTTATTCATGGGATAGAAGACTCAATTTTGTTAAGATGTCAATTCTCCCCAAATTGATTTATAAATTGAACACAATCCCTACAATAGTCCCAACTGGCTTTTTTTTTTCCTTAGAAATTAAGAAGGTGATTTTACACTTCATATGGAAATGTAAAGTACTTAGAATAGCCAAAATAACTTAGAAAAAGAAAGACAGAATTAGAAGACTAACACTACCTATTTCAAGACTTATTATGAAGCCATAGTAATCAAGACAGTGTGTATTGGCATCAAAATCAACAAAGAGATCAATGAAACCAAATACAGAGTACAGAATTAGACCCATCCATATATGGACAGATTATTTTTGACAAAAGTGCAAAGATAATTCAGTGGAAAAAGGATAGTCCTTTCAATAAATAATGCTACATCAATTAGATATCCATATGGTAAAAAAATGAACTCCGATCCATACCTTGCACCATATACAAAAATTAACTCAAAGTAGATCATAAACCTAAATGCAAAACTTAAAACCAGGAAACTTCTAGAAGAAAACATAGGAGAAAACCTTCACAATCTTTGGTTAGACAAAGATTTCCTAGGTATGTGTTATGAGAGGTTCGGGGGATTCGATTGGAGATGTAAAAGAAACTTTCCACTCCAAACAAATGGACTGAAGGTATATTTTATTATATAGAGGAGAGTAAAGGCGATAGTCTGCAAACAGATCCGAATAGGTCAAATAGTAAGAGGGAAAAACATCAGCCCGACTGGAAAGGGAAAGCATCCACATCAGCTGAAGGGAAATGACATAAATCAACCGGAAAGAGAAACACCAGGTTGACTGAAAAGAGAACACATCAGATCAGTTACTCACAACATCCACGCCCCACTGCCGGGAGAGTCCCTTCAATCTACACGGCTGGGCAGGAATCACATGTCCGGGCAAGGCGACCCTTCCACAGGTGGAACTCTCACCAGGCCTCGGTTTCCAGCAGTTTATATAAGCAGTTACAGAGTTTTGCAGAGCAAGCATTTAGTGTTCCCATGCACAAATCGTTATCAGTGGCATATGTGCACTGAGCCCCCTGGCTATAGTCCCAGCCCAGCAGTTGTGTACGTGCATTGTTTTCTCTGGTTATCGTCCCAGCCCCGCACAGATGGCCAGTCCATCCCGTGCTATGACGCCCAAAGAGCCTTGAAATGTTACAAATTGCAACTCTTTCTGTGGGAGAAGGGCCAGTTCCCATCACAGAGAAAGTAGCTTTATATTTCTTTGTGTGCTGGTGGGTGTAGGTCAATGGAACGGCCAAACATGGCTGTACTCATGTCAAGACAGTATGACATTAAAGCACAATCTACAAAAGAACAAATGGATAATTTAAACCTTTCTAAACCTTTCAAAAATAAACTTATGCTCTTCAGAAGACACTGTTAAGAGAATAAAAGGTAGTCCACAGACTGGGAGAAAATATTCGCAGGTCATATATATGATAAAGTGCTTGTGTCCAGGATATTTTAAAAACTCTTAAAACTCAGTAATAAGAGAAGAAATGACCCAATTTTTAAAAATGAGCAAAAGGTTTGCACAGACACTTAACCAAAGAAGATACACAGATGGAAAATAGGCACATGAAAAGATGTTCGACATCATTATTAAAATCACAATGAGGGGCCGGCCCAGTGGCATAGTGGTTAAATTCGTGCGCTCCACTTTGGCTGCCGGGGGTTCGCGGGTTTGGATCCCAGGCACGGACCTACACACCACTTATCAAGCCATGCTGTGGCAGGTGTCCTACATATAAAGTAGAGGAAGATGGGCACTGATGTTAGCCCAGGGCCTAACTTCCTCAGCAAAAAGAGGAGGATTGGCAACAGATATTAGCTCAGGGCTGATCTTCTTCACACACACACACACAAAATCACAATGAGATACCACTAAACATATTAGAATGCCTAAAGTTAAAAAGATAGACCATGCCAAGTGTTGTTGAGGATGTGGGGAAACTGGAACTCTTCCAGCTGCTGTTGGGAAAATGAAATAGTACAACCAGATTGGAAGACAGTTTAGCAATTTCCTAAAAAGTTAAACATACACCTACCACAATATCCAGTCATTCTACTCATAGGTGTGATATAAGTGAATGGAAAACATATGTCCATACATAAACTTGTACGTGAACGTTTGTTATGGTTTTATTTGTAGGAGTTCAAAACTCAAACAACCCAAATGTTTATCAGTAGGTGAATAAACTCCCACATGTTCATATCTCATATTCAGTGGGAACACAAAATAGTACAGCCACTTTGGAAAACAATTTGGCAGTTTCTCACAAAGTTGAACATACACTTAACATATGATTCAGCAATCCCATTCTTACATATTTATGCAAGAAAAATGAAAACTTATGGCTCATATGAAAATCTGTACTTAAGTATTTATAGCAGCTTTATTATAATTGCCCCAAACTGGAAACAACACAAATGTACTTCAGTGGGTGAAGAGATAATGAACTATGGCACATCTATACAATGGAATACTACTCAGCAATAAAAAATTACAAACTACTGATATACACAACATGGATGAAACTCAAATGCATCAGGCTAAGTGAAAGAAATCAGAATGAAAAAGCTACATGCCATATGATTCAATTTATATGATCTTGTGGAAAAGGCAGAATTATAGGTATAGAAAACAGACTATATAAATCTGTATTTAGAAGCACCCTGTGCTCATCTCTGTCATCTAACATATCGCTGTGTTGTACTTTTCTGTTTACTTGTGTCCCTCATTAGTCTATAACCCTAGGTCTAGAGCTTAGCACAGTGGTTGGTACACGGCCAGCACCTCAGAAATTCTTATTGCTTGCAATATTGCCCTGACCTAGGACATTAACTTAGAAAACACTTCTGGCTCTCTGAAGACAGGCACTTCCTTCTGCAAAGGATGAGTAATTTATGGGGTCAAGAGGATATACCCACCCAAAGCCTAGACACCCCTTTCTGGAATCTAGATCATGTTCAGGGACATATCCCCCTGGAATTTACTGCCCAAATGATGCCAGGGTCTGCATGAGTCTCCTTCTCAGCTTTCTCCTGAGGGGAGACCCAGCTGCTAAAGTGTTAACCCCCAGACCTGAGTGGCGGCCAAGGTGTGGCTCTTTGCAGGGGTACAGGCAAAACTTGGATGTGTCTTGAAGTATCCACACATTGTATGCAAGGCCTCTCTCAGTGATGTAGGTGGGAGCCAGAAATGGGAAGAGAGGGGGTGAGAAAGGACTGGGGACCAGCTCTCCCCACAGTACCATATTCTAGCTGTTTTTCCAGGTATTCCAAGAAGCTTAAGAATTCTGAATGTGAAACTGGACTTCTAGATCATTATGACGATACATTTGTCAAAGTAGGAGAACAGAAGATATTTTATTTAACAATTTGTTACCTTGATTCAAAACTTTTAAATATTTAAACATATGGTATGTGGGTTTCTATTGGTACTCTTACCAGGCCTGCAAATGTTAGGGGCCGGCCTGCGGAAGGGAATAAAGATTACAAAAACAGATGACCTTCCTTTGTGATTCTAGGGTGCACATTTTATAAAATTACTGCTATGGAATGGGTGGGGCTCCATGTTTTCAAGCCCCACACAAGGAACGTTCAGTGGTGCAATTTCACTGTAATCTATTTTCACCCCCACTTTGTTCATGTTAACCCTTTTAGGATTTCCTCAAGTAAAATCTTTCAGTGTTCAATAATCCTAACAAAAATTTCTCTCACTTTCCCCAGCTCTCATGCTAGAAATACACTCCACAAACTGGCTTACCTCTGCTCTAACCATTTCATTCCTCAGACCTGGAGCTGGTGTTGCTCAAGGGAAACAGAAGCACAGAGCTGGGAAAAGATTAGGCCCTGCAGTCCCAAACAAAACCTCAGGGGAATCTCCATTCCGGGTTTGTAGGGCCTGGGCCTTGCTTGCCCAGCAAGAGCCCACAAGCCCATTGCAACCATGTGTGCTTCTGGCTCCCTTCTGGGCAGGACGCCCAGCTGCTGGGATTTGTAATAATCCAGGGGCTGGCCAGCCAGGATCTCACCTTATCTCACTCAAAGAACATCACGTCTTAAAGGGACACAGAGATCCTCCACGTGAGCTACTGTTTCTGGAACGCTGGTCGTACCAGGGACAGCCCCTTGGCAAGCATATAGCCTTTGCGGCCCCTGCCTATAGAAGCAACACCTTCCCCGCCTGCGGTTGCTCGTTGCTGTCCAACCGGCCGCCACTGGACCTCCCTGTAAGTAACTCCCAATAAACCTATATGTCTCGTTCGCAGTCTCTGGGTCTTTTCTTCCGGCTCTCCGCAACCTATCCCGCACTGCTCACCCAACTGGGCGTGTGGCCAGACAGGGGTCCACCTGGGGATCCTGGGCACCAGGATCTGCAGGGATGCGCGGGGCGTCCCGGGAACGCCTGCCGCTGGCGAGACGGGCCCCCTCTAGAAGACCCCAGATGTAAAGGGGAGCCCCTGGACATGCGGGGAGCCACCGCACCTGAGGGCGGAAGCTGAGGTTTCGCTCACCTGGGCCAGCTGCTTCGCGTCGCCTTAGCAACCAGCACTTCCGGCCCCGACCGGAAGCCCGCGAAGTGGCTCTTCAGAAGGTGCGCCCGCCCCCACGGGGGCGGGGAGACAGCCGTTCTCGCGGGCCGAGACCAGCTCTCCCGCGGGGACTCGCCAGTGAGCTCCGTGCGACGCGTGGGTCTGGGCTGGGTGCCATGGATGTCATGGACGCCTTCACCCGCTTCACCAACCAGACCCAGGGCCGGGAACGACTCTTCAGGTGAGTCAGGTGCTGGCGGCCACCGCCCCTTCCTCTCTCCGGCGCCCGGGAAGGAGGTCGTAGCCCGATGCGTGGAGCAGGAAGGCCGCTGCGGGCTCCCGGAGGGAGTGGTCCTCGAGCCCTTCCTCGCCATGAATGCCGTGGGGCTGAGCCGACGCCCCGCCCCCGGGCCGAGCCTCGTGCTCGGAAGCCCCGGGCCCGGAGCGCGGCCGCCGGGAGGCCCTGGCCGTGTGCCGGCCGTCGACGAGTCCTCCTCTCCTGACCGCAGGAGGGCTGGGTCTCTCCGCTCCGCAGTCTTCCCAGGATTTTTTTTAAAGAGAAACTCTGGTTTAGCATTGTGGCTAGGAAAGCCCAGCATTTGACTGTGGCTTCAAATACCCATGAAATGGTTATGGAGAGACAGGAATTTTATCTTGTCTTCCCATACTGTCCTGTCTCCCTCATTGGGATGCTGCGTGTGCAATAGTCCGTGAGCTGTGAAACGAATACAGTGTGGCGAGCTCGGAAAGAACTGACTGCGCCGCTAAGGTCACGCCGTGCTACTGAACATATTAAACAGCGATTGTGGCTTTAATAATAATTCATGATATTTCTTTTAGAAATTTGGTTGATTCTTGCTCAATAAAAATAGAATAGTTAGAGTTGCAGTTTCATTTAACAGCTTTTCCTCTTCTTCTGGGTGTACAAGTGCTAATGCAAACAGACCAGTGAGAATAGCCCCAATAATGATATTTTTGGCAGCCGACTTTATGCCAGATATTGTTCTCAGTGTGTTACAGCTAGTAACTCACTCAACCCTCGTCGCAATCTTATGAGGTAGATACTCTAAATCATCCCCATTTCACGGATGGGGAAACGGAAGCAGAAGGTTAGTAGGTACTAAGTGGTAGAGCTGAGAGATTTAAATCCATGCAGTTGACCTCAGTGCCTACGTCGTTAACTACAAGCCATACTACCTTTCTAATTAATTTGATAGGTTTTTAAAATGGTTGCGGTATATACAAGCTTTGTTAAAATAGAAGGCTACAATTCCAGTGTACACAGAATGTTTCCTGCAAGGTTTATCAACGAGGTTGGTTAATAAAATAATTGTTTAGAATATACTTATTCAGCGAGATCTGAGATCTCTAGTATTCATTTCCCAGTCTCCTTGGTGATCTATAGCTTCTGTGAACGAACTGGCATTTATAAAATAATGCTTTGTTTTTGGACTCGTTCGTATTAGACCAAGTTTGAGAAAGGGAGATTCGTTCATTGACATCACCAGCTTGAGCCCTCTAGCCGGGAAGCATACATTGAAAGGGAGAGAGAGAAAGAGAGAGATTTTTTCTTTTTACGTCATCCCCAATAACAAGTTCACCATTTTGGAAAACGTGCCACGTTTTTATTAAGAATAATGTTTATAGCATAAAGGGATTCAAATGCAGTTACAGGACAGTAGGAAACAGGCACCTGCTTTATTAAATAGACTGCCAAATGCATTTAGATGTTTGATTATGTGATAAAATTTCTCATTTGTTGTATTTCTGTTAGTAAGGCATTATTTGTAGTCACGACAATAATCACTTTACTAAATATTTAGTACAGTCATGTGTTGCTTAATGATGGGGATATGTTCTGAGAAATTCGTTGTTAGGCAATTTCATCGTATGATGGAAACATCATAGTGTATAGTTATGCAAACCTAGATGGTATAGCCTGCTACCCACCTAAGCTCTATGGTACTAATCTTATGGGTCCACTATCATATATGCTGTCCATTGTTGGCCGAAACATCATTATGCAGCACATGACTGTATTATTAAACAGGATCTGTCTGTATTTTATATAAAATGCTAATTAGTTTTGAAAGACAAATATAAAACATGTCTATACTTATTTATGTATTGGTGTGTATTTGGTCCTTTTATAAAAAATTAAGCAATGTTCAAACTGTGGACTTTTCATTTGGTTCTGGTTTGAGTGTGTGTCCTGTCACATAAGTAGTTGGTTAACTACATGGCAAAAAAGTTCATTTTAGGGCCAGCCTGGTTGGCCTAATGGTTAAAGTTCGACATGCTCTGCTTTGGCGGCCCAGGTTTGGTTCCCAGGTGTGGAACCACACCACTCATCAGTCAGTGGCCATGCTGTGACGGTGGCTCACATTAAAAAAGAGGAAGATTGGCAACAGAAGGGCAAATCTTCCCCAGGAAAAAGAAAAAGTTCATTTTAGAAATCTGAAAGATCATTCTAGAAAAAATAAAGATTATGGACCTTTGCAGACTTAACATGAGGGAGATTTTTGTGCAGTTTGCCACTTTGACTATATCCATTTCTCTGTGCCAGCAAAAGGCCTTTTTAGGGGCTGTTCACTGTATTATTGCAGAATTCTCTTTCATTACCTTTGTGTTGCTTTTCCATCACATGTTCTACCCTTTGGCCCTGTGGAGTGACTGTTGCAGAACTTTCCTTTCGTAAGAGCTGCTTACATGAGAAACTTTATCTTTAGCAAAACATATTTCTCCTTCTCTTACTTCATGAATCAAGTTTTATTTGGTTTGTAAATCATTCTCCTCATTTTTTTTTTTCCATTTCAGAGCTACTCAGTACACATGCATGTTGCTTAGATATTTGTTAGAGCCTAAAGCTGGCAAAGAGAAGGTGGTAATGAAGCTCAAGAAATTGGAGTCCAGTGTGAGCACTGGCCGTAAATGTAAGTACCCTGTCTCTTGAGGGACAGTGGCTCCTGGTTTAGAATCCTCAGACCCTGTAATTCACAAAATACATTCTAGGTCATTAATTTCTAGTCAATCAAGTTTATTGATGAAGTTGACTGGTAAGGCTGCTGTCATGGAACGACAGGCCAAAAAAGTTGAATGTTTTGCTGCAGACCATTCACACACACCCTCCTATGTTCACATTTGGTGCTACACCATGTCTTTCTGCTTAATCATAACCACTGGGACATACAATGTGTTAGTTCACCTTTAGTTCTTAGAATCACGAAATGTTTTGGCAATCCCTGACATGAGCTCCTGGCTCCTGGGAGCCCTTTGTATTCTGTAGAAGAACAGAATAGCTTTATCTTGGGCCTCCTGTCTTTTACCCTTCTGTTGAGGGATTGATAGAGGAAACGGATGGACACATTTTCTTAGATCATTTGTGGGGTGGTTTCATGTTAAAGGCAAAAAGTGAAGTCAGGGTTTTACACTCATTTAATTCACTTTGAAAATAAAGCGTACTGGGAAATCCCATACCTATAATAACAATTGCATGCCTGACTCCTAGTTGTTTGATGAGAACCAGATGTTGCTACAGTAGGTAAGCAGAGGCGTTAGAATGGAATGTAGAAATCAGATGTTGATCAATTATTCTTGAACATCTACTTCATATAGGTTTAGTCCTGGCTTTATGGGAGAACTAAGATCACATGGTATAAATAATAAGATTTAGTGCCAAATATGTTGGCTGGGGTAGAGGAAAAGAAAGGTGTTTTGGAGGAGGTGGAACTTGAGGTGTGGCTAGAGAACGAAGGAGAGCACTCTTGAAGGGAGGTTTCCTCTAGTGAAGTCGCAGAACTGTCATGAGCAAACCATTGTATTGAGGGATCAATGAGGAAACTTGTTTGACGGAGAGAAGACTTAAGTTGTCAAGCAGAGGGATGGGAAGGGTCGGGTCAGTTTTTCTGGATGGCTTAGAAGGCCAAGATTAGAAGTTCTTAGACTCTTGGAGAATGTTGGAGCTCAAAGGTCCTTTAGAGGTCACTAGTCTCTGAAGTTCTGAAAGGACTTACCCAAGGTCACTCAGCCAGTTAGTGCAAGAGCCAGAACTAGAACCCAGGATTATTCATTACATATTCTGTTTTGTGTTATTTTTGATAAAATAATACCAGACATTCTTCTGAGATTATAAGTTTCCTGAGGGTAGCTACTTTTGAGCATTGGCCGAGTCTAAGATATAGTCCTTTAAGGAAAGTACTTATTTTGTATCCTCCATAATGTTTAGTACTGTAACTCATTCTGAGTAGGTGCTCCATAAATGTTCGTTGACTCATGCATCCCTGATTAATTGAATTACATGCTTAAATAAGGGCATGCCTTGCAGCGGTTGATTTAATTCAACTAGGAGTCACATATGACAAAATTGTTAGTTGTCCTATCCACGATATCCTACCATCCCTACTTGGTCGTCTTCACAGTAGGGAGCCAAAGGGGTTTGGACCAGAGAAATGGCAAAATGATAATGGTGTTTTTTAAAAGAGAAATCTTTTGTCTGGAAAGTAAATAAAATGTAAAGCATCAGATTCTCCAAAAGAATATTGCATCTGGACTTCATGTTATCATAGTACCTTACTTGGAAAGAAGTGTAGGTGGTAATATTTGAATGTAACAATTCACACTCATGATTGATCTTGCCTGAAGTACGTTGTAAGTTGATGTTAAGGTATTCACTGGCACGGAGGTGATAAATTTAAAGAGTCACTGTCTTTTTTGCCTTCCAGGATCATTTTAGGTGTCCTTGACATACTGTAATATCCTTCTCCTTTCCTGAGCAAAGATTGAGCCTCAAATGACAGTCAGTTGTTAAACCAGTGCTGGCTTCGCACCTTGATATAGGGATTCTGCTTTCCTGTTACACACTAATTAAATCATTGTTAACTGTTGTGGGTTCTTCTCGCAGGGTTCAGACTCGGCAATGTGGTACATGCTGTACAGGCGACTCAGCAGAGCATTCATGCCACTGACCTGGTGCCCCGCTTATGCCTAACACTAGCCAACCTGAACCGTGTGATTTATTTCATCTGTGACACCATTCTCTGGGTGAGGAGCGTAGGGCTCGCCTCTGGCATTAACAAAGAGAAATGGCGAATGTGGGCTGCCCGCCATTACTACTATTCTCTCCTGCTGAGCCTGGTCAGGGATCTGTATGAAATCTCCCTGCAGATGGAACAGGTTGCACATGACAAGGCAAAGGGGGAGAAATCATCATCCCAGGATCCTCTTGGGTACAGCGTGGCTGATGAGGAAACAGAATGGCTTCAGTCCTTTCTCTTTCTCTTATTCCAATCTCTGAAGAAGCATCCTCCCTTGCTCCTGGACACGGTGAAGAACTTCTGTGATATCTTGAACCCTCTGGACCAGTTGGGGATCTATAAGTCCAATCCTGGCATCATTGGACTTGGAGGTCTTGTGTCCTCTATAGCAGGCGTCATCACGGTGGCATATCCACAGATGAAGCTAAAGACCCACTGAGGTGGTTTCAGGCTGAAGACTAGTCCCTGCTTTAACAGATGGCCTCTTAGCAGAATGGATGTTTGCCTTAGGCACAGATGGTGTCCTACTGTCCTTAAAGACTTGTTCACCTGAACACGTAGTGACCTGTGAAGTGTGCAGAGGTGGGGCCAAGAATGGAGAATGGGAGAGCGTGAAGATTTATGTATGTTTTTTAGAGTGCTGGAGTGACTTGTGAATTTCTGAGTATTTTCCCTTCATCTAACATTTAGTGAGCATCTCTTATGCACGTAGTAGGAGCTTAGTGTTTGCTGAATGAATAAAAATTGAAAGAAAAAAATTGAAAAAGGCCCAAACTAACAAGTGAATACTAATATGCGGTAACTCTTGGGCTGTGTGCCTCCCTGCTTTCGCATGAATACAGTAGGTCTGATGCACAGCCCACTCTCAGATCTAGTAAAGGCCCCTTATTCCTCCGCCCCTTCTTTCCTCCGTAGGTGCCAGTGCCAGGATGGAGGGGAGCTGGGCTTATAGCCTCTTAAATTGCGGACCCTTACTTCATCGCACTCCTGTCCTCCCTCTGTCCAGAAGTAGAATCAGAGATGTATCAGGCACCTTCATTGAGGTATAAATGGTGTCTTTAGGTAATGCAGTGAGTAAGCAAAAATCAGAAGCGGATAGAAAGGACTTGAGGTAAAAATAACGTGGAAGGTCACAACGGGTGCCTGTAGGTAGCCTGTGACTGATGAGGAAACTGAGGTTAAAAAAACTGAGGACAGAACCTCATTCCTCTAACTCCCAATTCAGTGGTCTTTCCATGATATTTCACTGTCTTTCTGATTGAGTGGAAGTGTGAGACTCTCTAGAATCCTGTGTGAAAAGCCTTTTTTTGAACCATTATTGGTCAGTGGTTTGTATTCTACAAAAATTAAAACTATCTCTAGACTTATCAGCTAGATTGTTTTTTTTAAAGCCATATAACAGTTTGGGCATTTCTACATTAATTTTCATAAAAATTTATGCAGTTAAAAAATTTCATGAGTACTCTGAACGTAAGAGGGTCATGATTTTCTATGTTAAATCAGACTTCATATGTGTCGGGTGGTTGGGGGAGTTGGAAAAGAGCAGTGAGGGGCTAGTGAAGAGGACATTTATTCATGCTGTGTTTTTCCTTCCCATCTTGGGTGTTGGGTTCTTATTTATGATTACAGATCCTCTGATTTGAGGGAAGTGAGGTGGAGAAATAGGATGTCATCAAGTAGGAGGCCTGTGTCAGCCTCACCAATAAAGCCATCTCATCTGAATGGAAATGAGAAAAGAAATGTGCACTAAATAAATTTCCCATAAATGTGATTGAGACTCAGGGCCTTGGCTCTCTATTTTTAAAGTGATCAATCAACATATAGGATTTGGGAAAGAACATTTTGTGAATTTTAAGAGAAATGAAAGCTGCTAGATCAGGGCAAATAAAAAATTTAAATAATTATTTTTACTTTGTCCAGATCCTATACTGTAATAGATTAATTATGTCTAATAAATTTCTAGACAAACTTGACTCATGTACCTGTGAATGTGTTCTGAGAATGGAGAAGAGTTAAAGGTAAGGTGATCCAGAGGGAATCTCAGTCAGAGTCTACCCAGTTGGTAGAGTGAGCTCTGGGAAAATGAGCTCTCTCCTGGGAAGATCCAAGCTGAGGGGGAGGATGAAGAAAATTTAGACATAGAACGTCCAGGTTGCAGGAGACCTCTAAAATGATCACATCCAGACTGCTACCGGGAGAGGGTCCTCTATGTCAGCCCTGTCGGTGGTGGTTTGGCTTCTGACTGGAGAAGTCGGCCTTGAATCTGCAGCAGCGTGTTATCTGTCTTGGTACTTTTGTCCTCTGCAAGTTAGGGTGGGTTGTGGGGAGTTTGGGAGATGCCACCTCTTCTAGAATTTGTGAAAACCTTAGTGGTGCCCTGGTACCTCCCTCCCTGTGCATCTTTGTCCTTTTTAACTGACTCTCCCCACCTCCGAGCCACCAGATTCATGAGGGATTCTAAAAAGCAAAGACATTCCTAATACATGTACAGGCCAGTGCATTCATAACTAACATTGTTGCCTGATAGTTTGTTTATTCAACAGTGAACGTTTGAGTGCAGTGCTTAGTGTTGGGACCCACTGGTGCACAAGATGACCGAGGTCCCTGTGCTCCTGTGGTGGTGGCAGGGGAGGCAGGTAGGGATGGGGAAGGAAAGAAGATAACTGTGTCCTTCAAGCTGCTGCTGGAAAACAGGCTGCTCCCGGGGGCCTCTCCTAGGCCGTTTCACCACTTGTCACCTCTCACCCACATTCTGGGCTCTCAGCTGAAGCGGCCAAAGAACGAGCCTTGTCAGCAGAGCTTTCAGGCACAGAGCCCTGTGCTCCTCTGGCCCAAAGCCACTGCTCCAGAGGCTTACAACTGCCCTGTGGCCCAGGTTGCTGTCCGACACAGCCGCATGGTTAATTTGTGCTGTGAGGGCAGAAACCACTTATTTAGATGCTTCCCTTCCTCTCCATTACTGTCTTATGTTTTAAAAGTCCAGGTTGGATTAATAAGTATTAAATATATCACATGTTTATTACTCCTTTTGGGGGTTTCTTGCTTGACTTTCCCCTCCCTTTCCTGACTGCTCACTGCCTTCTTTATTATAGCACAGATACAGAATTGATTACCATGGATCTGTAATAAAGCTCCGTTTCTCCCTACCCCCTGCCTCTTCCTCCTGTTGCCCACAGCATACAACTCAGCAGAGAGCCAGCAATAGATACAATTCTACCAACAACAGGGAAAATAGATAGTTGTGTCCTCCTATTATCCATTTTAATTAAAAGGCCCTTCTTAGACAATCTAAAGCGATGGCTTACACCACAGTCCTCCATCATCTTTGAAGCTAGGAATTAGAATTTGGGCTCCTGCCCGATTCATTGCTAAGGAAGGGGTGGGAGGTGATAGTTCTTGGTTGTCTGGATGCTGTTGGTCAGTAACAAAATCTTGGTCAACACTGTCACTTTTCCAGACTTGACAAAATCCAGTTGGCTTTCCCACCGTGTATTCTGGTGGCATCTTAGACCAGGTACAGTTCAATCAACTCTTGAAATCTAGGAATTTACAGAGGTTGCAATTGCTCCCTCAAAGTCTAGGTTGTTAAGGAGTCAACCCCCAGCTCTGGTTCTCTTCTTGACTGAGAGGAAGTTATCTTCATAATCAGAGTAGTACATTCAGGTGAACTCTGGGTTTAAATCTTACTGTTCAAAATCCTCTCTTGACAGGAAATAATAAGCGATGAGGGAAATGGGTTGAAAATGGTCCCACAGGACCTTCTGTGGAAAAGTAGCCAAAGATTATAGAACTTCAGAGCTTATGAGTTTAATGACATATATCCCAACACATTCTTTCTGGAAAACAGGTGTTTTGAGAACGGGGGGCCAGAAATGTTACAGAACTGATACTTGGTGGCTCTGGAATAACGACTCCTCTGATCCTGGATCTCCTTCAGCTCTGCAATCCACTGCCTAGTTGGCTAAATCTCCTTACAGAAATTAGGATATGCCCCGGGGACCCTGGGTCAAATAACCATGACAACTGGTGGACCCAGCTTTGTCTTCCTCTCTGCCCTCCTCTAGCTGGGAGGTGTTAGTAGCGTTGTCCAAGACTCCCTGGAGCAACCGGGCTTGTTTCTGCTGAGGAGACGCTCCGCAGTCTGGGCTCTGTGGACTGAGGCAGTATCAGCTGGAGTGAGTGTGGGGGTCTTGGGACATCTGCCTTACCTGGTTTGTTTCTGAGTTAAAGGGAAGAGGTTGAGGTGAGGGGTCTCCTGGGAATTTTAGTGAGGATGAAGAGGCCTGCAGGGAAACCGCTGAGGGAGAGATTATTCGAGGTGAATGACGAAGAGTGTAGAGTAGATATCCTGGGGCCACTAGCTTTTCCAGAACACAGCTGAAATAGCTTGTTTTAAGAGTGACTACTTTCTCACCTGGCTGAGCACAGAGGGAAGGACTGGCAGATATACTTGCTTAAAAAGAGGCATTAACACAGAACTTTTTCATTAAAAAAAAAAAAGACTGAAACTTATTCTTTTAGACTCTCATCTAAAAGCCCCTAAACTTCATCTAAAACGTCTTATCTCTTAAAGCTACGTTCATTTTTCGTTTCTTACCCTGAACCTAGTAAGAAACATCAGTCTTGACAAGTAGGCTGTGGGGGGCGACTCATCCCTATGAGACTCTAAGGAGTGGTCGCTTGTCGGTGACATTTACCCTCCAACCTAATGCCTTCTGTTCAGGAAACTTGAGCTCCCAGGCAGCCTGGGTCCAGTTGGTGGCCATGAGAGGTAGGGGTCTGGCCCTGTGGATCTCAAGCTGAGGGCTTTCTGATGGACCTGGGGCCCTCTGCTTTGCAGCTTCAAGAGCTATGATGGCAGTCAACAAGGACCCAACGTTGCTGGAGGGAGACCTCCCTGTGAGTAACTTGGGCTCGTATAAGACGGGGTAGACAACAGAGTGGGGGGGGGGGTTGTGGAGCAGCAAGGGCAGGTTCGGGGGGCTTAGAACGAGGTATGTCTCGATTATATTCATAATTCATTGACCATTATGTCTTAGTTATTGTTGCCCTCACTATCTTTGGCAGAGGGCTGTTAGAGGATCTGGGGAGAAAAAAGATGCTTATTAAAAACTAAGTACCTTGGAGAAAAAGGACAGAAATACCGGCTGGGAGGGAAAGGAGAGGAAGGGAACGACTGTATTCTAAACCCTGACGCAGGCAGAGTGTACATTCAGTACTGAGCCACGGCGTTCTGTAACTCCAGGGGTGTTGTTCATGTCAAAGTCTATGTACATGGCACCTCTTGGAGTTACACAGTGCACAGCCTCTGCTGCTGTGTGTGGGAAGGGGTTGGAGGGGCAGTGTGTCCAGTGTTGTCTGGCCTGGTTTTCACTGTTCTTGGTGTGGTTTGACACTTATAGGTGTACCTGATGCCTCCTGGCAAGGCTTCTCTGATTTAGGCACCGTTCAAATAGTTAGTGAAGCTTAAAAACTACAAACCCATACAGTACTCATCTTGTCCTGTTAGGCTTTAACTCTAACTTATGCACTAGGAGTTACCGTGGCAAGTTTTGTATTGAATCATAGAACACAGAGAGGCATAAAATGGTGGTGTGTAGTTAAGCCATCCTAACGGATGGTAGTATATTCCCTTCCCAGGACCTCTCTCCCGCTTTGGCTTTGCCTAAAAGAACCCTGTAGGCTCTGTCCAAAACGTTAAAGAAAATGTTTTCTTGTTTACAGTCATAATCTTTTTCTAGTTCAAATTTCAAGCTCACTTGCAAGACAAAAAGCTAAAATATTGTAGCCTGCTGTCTAGTATACATACAAGTCTCCTTGATGAGTCTTCTAACTCAGCAGTCCTACAAATAGAAGAGGCTAGGTCTTCGCCTCTAGAGCAGAACCATGCAACAGTGGCATATTCAACGCTACAGAGAGAGCTTGAGCCTGAGTCAGACCTGGGGAGTTTTCTCTTTTTACTTTTTATGTGGAGAATTCTTAACATTCATAAGAGTAAACAGAAGAATATGATACCCTTCACTAGCCCCAACAACCATGAATCCATGGCCAATCCTGCCTTGTCCTCACCCCCATTTATTCCCCCACCTTCTGTTATTTTGAAGCAAATCCCAGATACAGCATTTCAGGCCTGAGTTGGAATCCTGGCTCTGCCACTTACTAGCTGTGTGATCTTGGGTAAGTCACTTCACATCTCTGAGTCTTTGCCTCCTCATTGGCAAAGTGGTGGTGATAATGCTGACCTCAGAGGGTTGCTGTTAGAATTAAATGAGATCATGTCCACCAAAGCACCCCATCAGAGCCTGGAGCGTAATGGCCCTGAGTAAGTGTTTTTTCCCTCTGTGTGACTAGAATCCACATTCTTTTACTGAAAGACTAGTGTTTTTTCACTAAGATTCTTACGTGACCTAAAGTTTAATTATGTGACTGCTGCCAAAGTTAAAATGCGTTAATAAGAGCACAGCACCCCAATAATGAGAGTGATGGTTTCATTATACCCCACATGCTCAGACCACACCTGGAACACTGTCTTCAAGTTTGACAGCTGTAGTTGTAAGAAAGGCAACACCAAACTGGAGCGTGCCCAGAGGAGGGGATCACCAGACGAGGGTGGTGGGCCATTTGTAAGCTAAGTTAGGAACTGGAGCTATTTAGCATGGAGAAGGGACCGCTAAAGGGAGACATATGTGCCTTCAGATAGGTGAAGGGCCAGCCTGTGAATGATGCAATAGATTTGCTTAGCGTTGTTCCAGAGGGCAGAGGGTGGAGCAGTGGGTGGAGGCAAATTCAGCTCAGCAGTGCTGTCCAACGAGGGGCACAGGTCACTCTATGAGGGGTGAGCTCCATCCAATGAGACGTCCAAACACAAGCCTACCAGAGACACTGTGGGAAGCATTCATGCTGCAGAGGCCCCTGGAGGCCTAAGATTCTGTGATTCTGTGCCATTGGGCAGATCTAAACTTATGCCTTCTGCTCAGTGCAGCCCTGACTGTGATTCGTTTATTCAACTGAGCTTACTGTGCAGGCTTTAGACTAGGTGCTGGAAATACAGAGGTGGCAGTCTATTCGGAGAGAGACAAGTACACACACGATCACAGAGCCATGTGAGGAAGGGGGAGACAACCCAGCGAAGGAAGCGGTGGCTTCTGACTTGAGGGAGGAGAGTCAGGAAGCTTCATGCAAGAAGCGATGCTCCGGCTGTGTCTTGAGGGAGTGGGATTCCACCAGACAGTGGGATATGGGAGGGAAGGGGAGCATTCTAGGCAGTGGGACTGGCATGCACAGGCAGGGAGGCAGTGTCCCAGAAAGACCAAAAAACGTGTAGATGAAGCCACCAACCCAAGGTGGACAAAAACTCTAGACAGATATGCTGACACAGTTGCTCTCTACCAGGGGTGGGCTGGAAGGCCCCTGGAGGATGGAGACTGTCTCAGCAGCTCTGCAGAGCCTGGATTGTGACAAGGAGAGCATGGCAGGCTGGCTTTTGTTTTTCCTGTGGGGCATCTAGAGACGTTGCTGGTCTGGGTTCCTCCTAGGTCACTTGGACCCAGGCTAGCCTCACCAATGGGCTCCGTGACCCTGGGGCCACCTTCCCAGGAGGCGGGAGGGGGAGGTGGGACAACAGGAATGCTTTCCTTCCTTCCATGCCAGGAGCAGGAGAACGTGCTGCAGCGGGTCTTGCAGCTGCCGGTGGTGAGTGGCACCTGTGAGTGCTTCCAGAAGACCTACACCAGCACCAAGGAAGCCCACCCTCTGGTGGCCTCTGTGTGCAATGCCTATGAGAAGGGCGTGCAGGGCGCCAGCAGCTTGGCGGCCTGGAGCATGGAGCCAGTGGTCCGCAGGCTGTCCACCCAATGTGAGTCCCTGTGGCACTTGGAGGCTGCCTGCCTGTTCACTGATGCTCACTGGCTGCCTGTCACTCTGTTTGTCCACCTATCAGTCTATCTGATCATCTGAGAGCTTGCTTGTCTGTCTGCCTGTTTATCTGTCTGCCTGGCTGCCTACATCTCATTGCATGTTCTTCTCATTTATAGATATAGATGGATGTAGATGTAGATATAGATATATATCTCATCGATAGATGCCTCATCTATAGCCCAGCTGGCATTTTCTTGGGATAACAATGATGGGCCAAAGCATTGGCAGGGGGAAGGTATGGGCAGAGCTTTGTGGGCAGTGGTGGGAGTGGGGCCCGTGGCAGACCAGACACCACTTGAGCTCCAAATCCAGCAGCAGCAGCAGGAACTAGCAGAATCTGGCACAGAGGCAGGGACAGCAGGCACTAGGGCGGGCCTGGCAGGGGGAGGGGAATCCCTCTGGGCCCAGCAGCTGGTGGTACCAGCTCTTGACAGGCAGGGGCAGCAGAGAGCTACCAGCCAGGGCCCTGGAGGTGGAGGACAATGGTCCATGAGGACCTCACCAGACCTGCCCTGTTCAAAGTGTTCTGCCCCATTTGAAAATACGCTCTCCAAGGCACAGCTCTTAACAGGGCTGAGGGAAATTCCAGCAGCACCAAGTCTAGGACCTTCCACCATCCTAATTAGAGAAATATGTGTATCTGAGGATTCTGCACAGCAAACAAGAGAGAACAGATGTAAAGAAGACCCGGGCCCTGGGCCAGCCTCCCTGCCTGCAAGCTCCTTAAATAGCTTCCCTGGGTCTCATTTTGCCCAATCGGAAGATGGCCAAGTCATCTGGGCTCTCTGCTACTTGAGAATTTTGTATAGAAAAATAGGATCTCTGTAGAAATATATGAAAGAATATATATAAATATCCTTTAAAACTGTGGTCTCCATGATTGTGACTGCAGAGCACACGTCCCCGGCAGCCCCTGGGCAGTGTCTCCTGGAAGCATTTGCATCCTCTGGCACTTGCCCCACTCTCTGGGGGCAACTCCTTTCTCTTCCCTGTGACCCTCTGCCCACTGTTGACCATCTCACTCCTAGAGGTTAAAAGGAAGGGCCATGGACAGTGTGGGACCTGTACCAGCTGTGGCTGGGAGTTTGTCACCTCTAGAACTAAGTAGCCCCAGGCCTGGTCCCACCAAAGCCCACCCTAGGGCCCTGCTGCCCCCTCCCTTCACACCTCTGCTCTCTTTTCTCATGCTCACCCAGAGAGGGGAGGGAGAGACCAGGATTTGTGGTGAGTCGCTTAGTTTCTGTCACTTTCTCCTCACAACAACCCTGCAAGGTAGGCACCATCAGTCCATGTTTTCAAAAGAGGAACCCGAGGTTCAGGCAGGTTGTGACTCCCTGAAGCCACACACTGCAGATGTGGGCACTGGGCTTTGAGTGCAGGTCTGCCTGCCTCCAGAATTCCTACACAGGTGGACGACATTGGCCTAGTCTCAAGGAGTCGCAGCAGATGGGGGCTAAAGGTGGCAGAGGCCTCAGGCCCCGAGATGCTTTGGAGGCAGAAGGGCTGGGGGTCTGAGGGCTCCCAGGCACCCTCCTTGGCACAGAGGCCACTGCTAGGTTCTCACAGAGGGGCAGGGCTCACCCCACCATGGCCTTTACTTCCAGTCACAGCTGCCAACGAGCTGGCCTGCCGAGGCCTGGACCACTTGGAGGAGAAGATCCCGGCCCTCCAGTACCCTCCTGAAAAGGTGAACCCCTTCCCTCTTCTCTAACGCACCCCACACTCCATTGTCGCTGCCTCTCAGGGGAGGAGAGGGTGTGAGCTGACGATGCCATGACTGTGAGTCTTTCATTTCTGTGGCAAGGGCCTGCCCCTAAGGCCACACACGTGCTTCTTCCTCTCCCTGTGGGGCCAAATGAAGGCAGGCTTTCTGGGACCAGCAGACACAAGCCCAGAGGCAGTCTCACACAGGAGCTTGGGGTGGGTCCCACTGCTCCTGATACCCATCCACCAGGACACCCCAGGGGCTTTACTGGGCCACTCGGTGACTATGGCCACCTAAAATCATGGGTCACACTCATCAGACCCCAGGATTGTAGTCCCATGTCCTCAAGAGCCAACCCTTTATGGGCCACGAGACTGAAGAAGACACTTCGCTTGGATACATAGTCACTGGGTATTTGCTGTGGAAAGGGCCGTGTCAGCTGCTTTGGGGGAGTAAGCTTCCATCTCTGACCTTATCCATCCCACTGACCAGCTATCTACCCATCCCCCTGAGCCCTGTCCTACCCAGGGCCACAGCACATGATTTATGGAGCCTCTCATTCGATCCTCTTGTCAGCCTTTGGGGATCGGGTGGTTATCCTATTTTACAGATGAGAAAACTAGTGACTTCCCCCAGCCACTCAGCCTTAAGTGGAGGCCACATGAGAGCAGGTCTGTTTGGCTGCGAGGCCTGTGCTCTTGACTCCCATTTTCCAGATGAAGGGCAACCTCTTTGTCACAAAGGAGCTCCCAGGCTAATAGGAGAGAAAGACAAATTCTTTCAATGCAGAACTTGTAGGAAGATCAACCACATCTATAAATGCAGATGGGCGTGTGAGCAGTGTTCTGAGGGAAGGACAGAGGAGACAGTAGAGGAATTGGAACAGGAGATGCTGTGTCTGCACAAGGGTATCAGGACAGGTGTCATCAAGGATGTGGCCTTTGGGGGGATTGTCACAGGATGGTTAGGATGTCAGCAGGCAGAAATGGGGCACAAAGAAGCCAGTGATCTGGGTGGTTGGCACAGGGAGGGTTGGAGCCCTTCCCCTTTAAAGCCCAGCTTAATCCAGCTGCCCAAATATTGGTGCCTTCCTGGAAGCTTGGCTCAGGGCCTGCTAGACCCACGTGCCTGATCCTCCTCCCCACCCACTTCCCCTAGATCGCCTCTGAGCTGAAGGACACCATCTCCACCCGCCTTCGCAGTGCCAGGAACAGCATCAGCATGCCCATTGCCAGTACCTCAGACAAGGTCCTGGGGGCTGCTCTGGCTGGCTGTGAGCTTGCCTGGGGTGTGGCCAAAGACACTGCTGAATATGCCGCCAACACCCGAGCTGGTCGGCTGGCCTCTGGAGGGGCCGACTTGGCCCTGGGCAGTGTTGAGAAGGTGGTTGAGTTCCTCCTCCCTCCAACCAAGGAAGAGTCAGGTATCTGCCATTAGGGGGCTGGCAGACCCACCCTGGGGAGTGAGTTGGCCTCCCATGCTGCCTGGGAATTAGCAAAATGGGCAAATGCTCATTCAGCAGGGAAGGCCCAGTGGGATTTTCAGATGGATCCATCCTCATTTAGCCCCTCCCCATTGTAAGTGGGGAAGTGAGTTGCTGAAGTCACCAGTGAGCTTGTGGTGGAGCTAGGACAACCGCTTTCCAACCCCAGACGCAATCAGCTTTCCCCAACCCCTCTCTGATCTGTTTTCCCTTCTTTTCCCCCAAACTCCTACCTAGCCCCCGCTCCAGGACACCAGCAGGCCCAGAAGCCTTCCAAGGCCAAGCCAAGCCTCATGAGCAGGTTTGGGGCCCTGGCCAACACCCTCTCTGAACACACCTTCCAGACCATGGCCCAGGTGCTGAAGCAGGGCCACACCCTGGCCATGTGGATCCCGGGTGTGGCGCCCCTGGTGAGTGTCTGCTCTGAGCTCGGACTGACCCTAGGCCTGGGAGCCAGGTGGGCCTCCTGGTCCCTCCCATCTCCTACCTGCCTCTGCCTCCCGTCCTGGGAACATCTCTTCCAGCCTGGGCTGGGACCTCAGGTCTAAAGACAAGAGGCCCTAAGCAGGGACGGAGCACTAGTCGTCTAGGCTGCAAGGGGAGAGAAAGGACAGGGCGGGAGCCAAGGGCAGGCCTACCTGCTAGGGTGGGTCCCACCCCCTTTGTTCCCCCAGGTGGGCCTCTTGCTGTGGGCCCCGCCACCAGTGAGGGTGCAGGGACCTACCCCCCCCATCAAATAAACAAGGCACAAAACCCGTTCTGGTGGAGACAGCTCCAGCTGGGCCATATCCCTGACTGCCACCACATTTCTGATTTCCCTTCTAGAGGCTTCTAATTTGCATCCCACAGCACCCAAGGTAAAGCTGCCTTTTCTAGGCCCAGGTAGGGCTGACTCCCCACCGCCCCGCCCCTGCCCCGACCTCTCTGTGTATTTTAGCAGAGATGGGCTGGATTTTTTTCATAAGGAACCTTAGTAAAACACTGAGGCCCAAAAAAGAAAGAAAACATTAAAGCATAAAGGTCAGCAAACAAGATAACCACTTTTCAGCCATCATTTGGGTGATACTTTGAAAAGTGTCTTCAGGCCTGGCTTGTTGATTCCAGCAAATGTTTGCTGAGAACCTGCTATGCCAGGTTCTGTGGTTCCAGTGGGGACACAGGAGTAGTAGTTCCCTCTGTCGCCTGCACTGGGAGGTCAGTCACAAGTGGGAGCTGAGACTGACTCCCGAGCCCCAGCCTGACCCATGGTGGGGAGGGCCCACTGGGCCATGCGACCTCAGGGGCACCACCGCTCACAGGGTATATAATGGTGTTCCCTGATGTTGTATAACAAGGGGCCCTGGTTGTGGGGCTCCCTGTGGGTTTGGAATGAGCCAAGCTGTGCCTCAGGGGATGCCAGCCCACCTGCCCAGATCAGTTTCCTCCCACGGGACACCCTGGCCCACTTGATTTTTTCACTCTTTGAAGATCTGCAAGCAGCATCTACTAAAGCTAAACCTACATATCCCCTATGACCCAGCAATCCAACCCAACAGAAACGAGAGCCATGTTCCCCAAAAGACATGTCGAAAATGTTCCTATCAGCTTTATCCTTAGCCAAGAACTGGAAACAACAAAATGTCCATCAACAGTAGAATGGGTACATTTTGTGGTGTATTTATGCAGTAGAATATTACACAGAAATGAAAAAGAAGGAAGTACTTGAACATGCAATAACATGGATGAATCTCACAACATAATGTTGAACAAAAGAAGCTCTTTATGAAAGATACACTCAGTGTATGAGTCCATTTATAGGAAGTTCAAACAGGCAAAACCAATGCATGGTGTGGTCACCCTTGTGGGGTGTTGATTGGGTGGGGGGCACAGGGAGGCTTCTGGGGTGTTGAAAATGGTCTCTATCTTGATCTCTGGTGGTTGCTCAGGTGTGTGCCTATAAAAATCCACACAGCTGTTCACTAAAGATGTGTGCACTTTAGTGTATATAAGTTATTACTCAATGAAAAGTTTTCAGAACAGTCTGCTGGGGCAGGGCCCTGCTCACCTCCCCCTACTCTGACCTCGGGGGTGAGGGACTCTGGCTGCTGGGGCTGCCCGGCCTTCAGCAGGGCCCATGGAGCTAGAGGCCTGCCCCCTTCACTCCCTCAGAGCAGTCTGGCCCAGTGGGGCGCGTCAGCGGCCATGCAGGTGGTGTCCCGGCGGCAGAGTGAGGTGCGGGTGCCCTGGCTGCATAGCCTCACCAGCACCCCGGAGGAGGACCACGATGACCAGGCGGACACAGGCGGGGAGGAGACGGAGGAGGAGGAGGAATCCGAGACCGAGGAGAGCAAGCTCAGTGAGGTGGGGGAGACAGCGGGAGCTAAGTGGGGACGCAGAAGCCTCGGGGTCCCACAGCCCACAGAGGGGGCGAGAAGCAGAGTCACAGGGTGAAACAAGAGCCAGGGACACGGTACATAGGCGCAGCACTCCTCACCTCTCCCCAAAAAGCCCAGCTAACAAAGTACTTCCCTGACGTTCTCTCAGCTGACCCTCACAACAACCCCCGAAGATAAGCAGGGTAGAGATCATCATCCCCATTTTGCAGAGGAAGAAACAGGTTCAGAGAGGGAAGTGACCTGCCCAAGGCCACATAGCTAGTGGCCGAGTCAAGCCTACAGTTTTTTCTTTTTGGTGTCCCTGTTCTTCCCCCTCTAGCACTGGGGATGGCAGGGAGGGGAAGGGTCAGAGGAGTCCCTGCAGGAGGTGCTAACCTTGCTCTGGTTCCCAGGGAGCAGCCCTGCCCAGCCCACAAGGCTTTCTGGGCAGTGTGGCACATGCCCTGCAGAAGGCCTTCCAGGGCACCATCAAAGCGGTGACTTGGGCCCCTGTGGCTGTGCTGGGCACCGCAGGGAGGATGCTGCATCTCACGCCAGCCCATGCTGTCTGCTCCACCAAGGGGAGGGCCATGTCCCTGTCCGACACTCTGAAGGGCGTTACTGACAACGTGGTGGACACGGTGGTGCACTACGTGCCGGTGAGTCCCACCCCTGGTCACCCTCCCTCCCCCGAGGGGGCCTGGACAGGACAGATAATGCATATTTGACTGAGGGGCTGCGGCTGCCCTCCTTCCCCGATCTCCTCGGCCGTCCTCTTCTGATCCTCAGTGCCCTGGAAACATGCTGACATACTATGGCCTTGACTGGGGCCCTTCCCAGCCCCAAGAGTATCGAGATCCGTGGCCCTGGCCTGAGACCTTTCCCCACATCCCTCCTTCCCACCTGCTGATGGAGAGGTCTCCCACCATCAGTCTGCCGGCCCCAGTGGCCCTCACCCCTCAACTCCCACCTGAAGGACCTGGCGGGTCTGCATGCTGCTCCTGGAAGAGGTGGGAGGGAGGCTTCCAGGGCACCCGGGGAGGCTATGTTCCAGGGGACGGCAGCTGCCCCCATCCCAGTTCTATCACCTATCACCAACGGGAAGAAACCAAGGGACGCCAGTGCTGCCCCTTTGGGAGTCCTGGGCCCCTTCCCAGAGCAAGTTACAGGTTTTGCAGGTTCTGGGAGGGCTGGGCAGGGCAGGAGGCTCCCCTAGAGCTGGAAGGGGGATGGGTTACTCAGTCACTCACTCCCAACAAGAGGCATGCCAGGGGTCTTGGCAGCCAGCCTGTTCACCTTGGGCCCCAAACAGGACCAGGCCTGGGTACAATGACCCTGGCTGGGGCAATGTGTGAGCCGTGCATAGTCCACAACTCAGGCCCAGGAAGGGTCAGGAAAGCCACTGACCTCCCACTGAGGGACCCCTGAGGAAGGCAGGAGGGGGTCCAGAAACTTGGGGAGAGGGGCTGCCTGCCTTGCCGTAGAGGGCTGGACCTTGGAGGCCATCAGAGAGGGCAGGACACCAGCGGTCTCCCCTGTGCATACCATCCCGCTGCACCCGAGGCCCATGCCCTAAAACCCAGCCCGTGTGCCCTACAACCCAGCCCGTGTCCCCGGACGGCCGCTCCCGGGAGGCGTAAACACGGGGGCCCCAGCAGGGCAGTCAGTGGGAGGCGCAGGAATGAGGGCCAAGCCTGGACCCTAACGCGGCTGTCGCGCCCTCAGCTCCCCAGGCTGTCACTGATGGAGCCCGAGAGCGAATTCCGGGATATCGACAACCCGCCGGCCGAG